GGATTCTGGGTCCTCGGAATATCCATTTGGATTTTCTCGTTCAATTTTGCAAAATGCAGAGGACTGACTCCACGTAACAGCTACACAAGTGATGTCAATTCAGGTCCAAGGTGATTTTTGCTCATGGCTCTCCCCAAGAGGGGTGACAGGGCTTGTGAAAACGACGTCAGTTATGAAATCTCCAGCATTTGCACTATGACACCAAGATGTGTACAATATCACTGTGGCTTCTAGGTGATACTACAATCTTTTGGCTTCCTGAGGCCCTCTTGTTTCTTTTTTAATTTTCCTTGGGAATCAGAATTGACAGCTGGAGTTCTAAATCAAATACCTTGCTTGGATTATGTCAATACATTCAGCAGAAATATTATAATTCAGAGGAAAACAGCAACCACGACAGAGAGAGAGAGAGACGCCTTTGGTGGAACCAAGGAAGATAAGCTGAGCATCTTGAAGGAACATCTCATCCATTGCCTCATTCCCCCCCCCCCCGGCAATGTCCATTCCCTGAATTTGTAATGGAGAAAGCCTCGCACACAGAGGGTCCAAGCCCACGTTTAGAGGACCATCATACAGCTATCGTGCTAAGAAAAGTGCTTATGTCTGATCCATGGAGTCTTTCAGAAGAAGATTTCCATGGTGACCAAACGGATGTTAAGGGCCAGGACCAGTTTGTATGCTGAAACACCTGAACACAGGGCCCAACTCCTTTCAGCCTGGACACAGGGCCCAACTCCTTTCAGCCTGGACACAGGGCCCAACTCCTTTCAGCCTGGACACAGGGCCCAACTCCTTTCAGCCTGGACACAGGGCCCAACTCCTTTCAGCCTGGACACAGGGCCCAACTCCTTTCAGCCTGGGGAGGCCACCTTGACGAAGAAGGATGTGAAGGAAACTCAGGCTTCCACCACACTTAAGACCCCACGTAGGAGCAAAAGAAACCCCTTTTGTGTTCTTTAATGAATACTGAAGAGTTCAAAAAGAGCAAGTAACACTTAGGTTGCAAAGGTCACTTAAAATGAGATACTGCTTATTTGAGCGCATCAAGGCCAGTAAAAGGAATTCTGTAGGAAAACTTACAAACGACAGCAATACTGATTTTTTTCTTGTCAAGTTTCAGCAAGAAAGCCTCCAGCGTTAGAAACATCAAAAGGGATCATACTAAAATTGTTCAAGGTAGCAATACCTAAAAAACCTCCTCAGTCAGACTCGGGGGATATATGTCATGTTAAAAACGTGATACAAATATGGACCACACTTCATGTTTTGGCAGTAATGCTGGTTGTTGCAGAGAAAGAGAGAGAGATGGGATGGGGCAATGGAAAGAACTAACCCCTTTCATCGGACAGCTGTTTTGCTTTTTCTCCCCAAAAAAGGGGGAAAAAACACCCCACATACCCAGAGCAAAGATGATTTAGTTGCCAGATAAGCAGCCTTCCAGGCTTATTATAAAAATGGAAACAGTTTGATCAGCTTCTCTACGTCCCTTGGAATAGCCAGAAGTTGTAAAACAAGCAGCAACTCTGTTACATACGTTTTTTTTTTACAGCATAACTCTTTTTAACAGCAAATCCAATTACAGTGAGAAGGAATGATCAAATCCAAGACTAGTAAAACTCGAGAAAAAGAGAAGAGAAGAGAAGAGAAGAGAAGAAGAAGGAAGGAAGGAAGGAAGGAAGGAAGGAAGGAAGGAAGGAAGGAAGGAAGGAAGGAAGGAAGGAAGGAAGGGAGGGACAGGAAGGAAGGAAGGGACAGGAAGGAGGGAGGGAGAGAGGAAGGAAGGGAGGAAGGAAGGAAGGAGGGAGGGACAAGAAGGAAGGAACGGGAAGGAGGGAGGGAGAGAGGAAGGAAGGAAGGAAAGAAGGCAGGAAGGAAGGAGGGAGGGACAGGAAAGAGGGAGGGAGAGAGGAAGGAAGGAAGGAAGGAAGGAAGGAAGGAAGGAAGGAAGGAAGGAAGGAAGGAAGGAAGGAAGGAAGGAGGGAGGGAGGGACAGGAAGGAAGGAAGGGACAGGAAGGATGGAGGGAGAGAGGAAGGAAGGAAGGAAGGAAAGAAGGCAGGAAGGAAAGAAGGAAAGAAGGCAGGAAGGAAAGAGGGAGGGAGGGACAGGAAGAAAGGAAGGAAGGCTGAGGAATTCTGGGAGTTGAAGTCCACAAGTCATAGAAGGGCCAAGTTTGAAGATCCCTGGCCAAAACCAATGCAATTTAAATAGGTATCAATATTCTGAAGACAGTTACAATCAGTCAACTGTAGAACACTTGATGAAAGGGATAATTTTGCTTTTTTTTTTTTCTTAAATGGGAAGAATGAAGGCCAATTCTAAAAGGTGAGAAACAACACCCTTTTAAGCTGCAATCCTACAATCTTTGGGAGAGGATTTTGGAGGTCCTGGGGAGAACTGGAACTGTTTTTCAGAGGAGGAAAAGCTCTGAAAAAGGCCTGCTGCCTGGAAAGACCAGAGCTTGGAATTTAGCTTCTAATTTAGGGTCATACCTGGATTCTGCAGAGGTTAATTCATTCCTACTGGGAAGCCAACTTTTTTTTTAAGTTAAACCCTGTTCTTCTCTTCCTTTTGCCCAAATAATAATAGTAATAATAATAATAATAATAATAATAATAATAATAATAATAATAATGCAATCGCTATTAGTCACTTGCAAAAGGCGGCCTTACTAGGAACTGCTTCCATCCTGCGACGATATCTAAAATACCATCAAACATCCACATCTGCCTATCCCAGGTCCTGGGTAAGGACTCGATAGGTAGACAAAATGCCAAATCCAGTCTGAACATCTGGCTGACAATAACAATAATAATGGTAAGCTGTTGCAAGAAGATTGCACAGACTGACTACAAGCAGCGGCATGACAAAGTAGCAACAATGGTGCATTGGAAGATCTGCAAAAAATATCATTTGCCTGTAAGCAAAAACTGGTGGGATCATAAAATAGAGAAAGTCATAGAAAATGATAAAATTAAACTGCTCTGGGACTTCAGAATTCAAACAGACAAGCACCTGCAACATAACACCCCAGACTTAACAATTGTCGATAAGAAAGACAAAAAAGTCTGGATAGTGGACGTGGCAGTGCCTGGAGACAGCAGAATAGACGAGAAAGAACTGGAGAAGATAACAAAATACAAAGACCTACAAATAGAAATAGAAAGACTGTGGCAAAAGCAAGCAAGGGTAGTACCAATAGTCATAGGCTCCTTGGGTGCAATCCCAAAACAACTGGAGCACCACTTGAACACCATTGGCATTGACAAATTCGCTATTAGTCAATTGCAAAAGGCGGCCTTACTAGGAACTGCTTCCATCCTGCGACGATACCTGTAATACCATCAAACATCCACATCTGCCTATCCCAGGTCCTGGGTAAGGACTCAATAGGTAGACAAGATGCCAAATCCAGTTTGAACATCTGGCTGACTGTGCGATGATCCATAATAATAATAATAATAAAGTTGGAAGGGACCTTGGAGGTCATCCAGTCCAACCCCCTGCTCAGGCAGGTAACCCTATACCATTTCAGACAAGGTCCCTTCCAACATTATTATTATTATTATTATTATTATTATTATTATTATTGACTCGCTAGGTAGACAAAATGCCAAATCCAGTCTGAACATCTGGCTGACTGTGCGATGATCAATAATAATAATAATAATAATAATAATAATAATAATAAGTGGCAGGGTCTAAATAGTTTGGAGAATTCCAACATTGGAAATCCTTAATGAATGAGGTAGGGTTGCTTAACGTTATGCCAAGTCTTCAGAAAAATTCCCAGCAGATTTTCTGGCAACGTAGAAAAGGGGGACGACTTTAGAGCGATAGAAAGGAAATTTGTGCAACGCTTAAAACTTGGTTATCCTAGAGCCTCTCGTCTGCCAACTGTCGTTCAAATTACACCTTCCTCCTGCCAAATATGACATCTTCCAGGAGACAAGCTTCAAGTCCAGATCTCTCAAGGGCTAAAGTCCAAGCTAAAGTTTCCTGCAGCATGGATGTCCTACCACTTTTAAGTAAAAGCTTCTTGTTTCCTGGTGAATGCATGCTTTATTTCAGTGTTTTCCAAACTTGACAATTTTAAGGCATGTGGACTTCAACTCCCAGAATTCCACAGCCAGCGTTGCTGGCTGTGGAATTCTGGGAGTTGAAGTCCTCATGCCTTAAAATTGTCAAGTTTGGGAAACACTGCTTTATTTGGTTGCAACATGAGCCAGGATGAGGATCCATGCTCACCTGCATGATAATATGCATCAGAGCTATCAAGGCAAGGATTTCCCCCCACACACACACACTCTCCTATAGAATTTGATCCCGCAAAAAATCCATGCATTCAAGCTCAGATGGTTTGAGCAATGTCACCTGGAACACGCTGATCAGGAGCTGCTCATGTGATAAGCAGTCCTGATGTTTTTCTAACAGCTGAACACAGCTCAGCGTGCAAGGCTACCAGATCTGGGCTGCCAAACTCCATCTGACCACTAGGTGGCAGCAAAGAGGACAAAAAAAACCTTCTTAGTCCATCTCTATATTACATGGACATCACTGCATCTTCCAGCTATGCCTATATCTGTGGCTAAAGTTTCTTTCCGCATGGGTGCCCTACCACTTTAAGTAAAAGCTTCTTGTTTCCTGGTTAATGCACACTAAACCTTTAGTTATGAACTGACCTTTAAGAAGTCGGTTCCTATTCCCACAAGGAGAATTAAGCTTTCTTCTTTCCATACTAGGAGGGAAAGAGAGGAAACCAGCCATTAAATTATCCTTTGCAAAGACTAGGAATTAATTAAGGCAGTTTAAAAAAATAATAATAGATGTAGATATTGTAACCGTAAGCATTATTTACAGGAAGTAGTTGGTAGCAGTACCTGAAAAGATGTTTTGACAAAAAAAAAATCATCTGTAGAGGCTACAAGCTACCTGAATACAGATGGATTGGTGGATAGTTTCATTTGTATGCTTCTCAGAGAAAGAGATTCTCTTTTTTTTAAAAAAAAAAAAATACTGCAAATTAAGGATGAGGACCAATATTTTGATTAAGGCAAACTCTATTGTTAAGCAAAAATTCAGCAAGGGGGCTTGATCTGCACAGCCACATTTTAAGGAATTGCCCTCCCGTTCCTGAGAAATGTATATTTTTCATTGTGTGCACTGCCCAGAGACAGTGACACACGTGTGAGATGGGTAGCTATACAAATTCAATAAATAAATAAACCCAATAGATAAATAAATAAATTAAAAATAATAACCAATCTGCCGCTTTAACAGAAGCAAGCTGCATTTGACTCCTAACACTAAACAAGCAGAACTCTTTTCACTGAGGACCAGAGCAATGAAATATAGTATATCTCTGACTAGTTTTGGCAACCATGAAGTGCACTAAGACAGGAGGTCCACAACCCATGGGCAGTGGACCACTACGGGCTATGGCTCATTGGGAATCGGGTCACCAAAGTGGAGGGCGAGCGTGCAAAGCTTTATTTGCACATGTGTGGAATTTATATTGTGTGTGTGAAACCATGCCATCCCCCTCTGGCAAAGCTGCCACTGCCGGTCCATGGAACCAAAAAGATTGGGGACCCCTGGACTAAGATACGAAATACCCGCCATGAAGTGTTGAGCTACCAAACCTGGACTGCCAATATCCACACAACCAGTAGACAACACAAAGATTTAAGGTTTTCTGTGTCGTTTTGTTGCCACTAGTGATCATTCAGATTCTTGCCAGCCCACTCTGAGACCTCTAGAAAAAGAACCAGGTTGCAATCCGAATTATATTTATTCCGTTCTGTTAAGAGTATTTCTTTGGGGCTGCAAAAATTCCACCCTTTTTTTTTAAAAAAAGTAGAAAATTAGCTTCGTTATTCCTTCTTGAATCGTCTCTGAAATCAATATCAAAGTTAGATGCAGCCAAAGTCAAAGGAGGAAGGGAGGGAAACACACTAGCGTGCTCAGCCACAATCAGAAAAATAAATGGAGGCGAACAGAGGAAAAATAAAGACCTGCCATTCACGCATTTTGACTGCATTCTCGGAAGTGCTTCAAACACTTGGGGCTCAACATCAGATGAAAGTCACTCGCTAAGTGCAATGATAGTTTATCGGGGTTCTCGTACAAAGAATTGCAGTTTGCAGGGTTTTGAGTAGAATTCTGTGACAGCCGGAAAGCCACACATTTGTTGGGGAGTTTTAAAAAGTCCTTGATTAAAATATTCTCTGTCTACAACATTCTTTACTTCAAAGTAATTGTTTACTGACGGGACGGATGTTTGAGTTCATGCTAAATCAGTATTTTTACTTCAAACCCAAGTGTTCACTCTATATGAGAGGGATTGGTTTGGGTTTTCTGACTTTTTTTTTATTTTTTATTTTGGTGTTTGCGATGTAAAGCAGAAGGTAAAACGCTGCCTAATAAGTGGGCCTAATTTTGCTAGAAACAAGCAGTTATTATTTTTTTTTAACCTTGAAATAAACGCCTGTCCATTTGATTTCAGTTACTGACTGGACCTGTAAACAGTAATTTAGGTGAATGTTTTCATCTATAAAACCCACTTTTTTTTCCCCATTTGAGCAGATAATTAAATGTACCATCCCCCCTTTTCAACTTTTACTTTGTGCAGTCTATTCAGAGTATCTGTTTAACAATATATAGCTTAAGATTAAATTGCACCACACCGCAATATTTGGTTTCTCACACAGCAGGAAAACAAAAATCACTCAAAGACCTGTTCAATAAACTACACTCTACCGTGAAAAAGAAAAGGAAAAAAAAACAAAACCTAAATCTTAAAAAAAAAAAAAAACAACCCTGAACAAAATAGCAGCTTCGTCGTCATGCAAATTTACCCTTGAAAACCAACGTTCGATATACAGTATTCACAAAGACATTTGTATTCACAAACATTGTGTCTTGAAAACTTTGGAGGAATCGATAAGACGATGTTCTGAGAACAGGAATCCACGTGGACAAGTAACAGCTTGAGCAACAAAGGACAGATGCTGGGATGAAGAGAGAAATTTTTAAATAATAATAATTCCATTTTGACGTTTGTTGCTTCGAGCTTGCCGTTTCAGAACTTTGCGTCCAGTTCATGAAGTTATGGAACCCGATTCGTTTTTAGAAAACAAAGACAATCTGTTATAAGGCATTTTACGTCATGATTTAAAGTCTCGTCACGTCCAATTCAACCCTTGAAGTTCTCCGGGAGATCTTCCACGTCTAGCCCACCACGGCTTCCTTAAAACGTTTTAACTTTTTTTTCTCCTTTCTTTTCTTTTCTTAAAAAAAGTCATTTTTTTTATTTTAAAACCGGTTGCCGCCTTCCCACCGTGGTTATAATTCTCTCCCCTAGAATATATTAGATCCTGGAAACGTATTCAGATCTGCTAAATGCCGTTGCATTGATGGGCTTGAAGTGGCAGTGGGCGCGTTCGTGATGGAGATGAGGAGAGGAGTAAAGAATGCTCTGTGTTTTTCTAAGTGACGGCATTGAACCACGGTTGATTTTACTACCGGCGAACCGGCGTGAAATGGTAGCGTAATGAAACTGACGTTGAGCTTGTATTCAAACAAAGTTGAAACAGGCATGTAAATAATCGGTACTCTAAACCAGAAGGCGAAGGAAATGGCAAGTTTTTGGTTTTTCCCCCCTTTCCTTTACAAATTGGATGTTCCAACGTTTGAGGAGTGCGACCCGCTCAAAACCACGTCCGAACAAACAGAAACCGGGTGATCTTTTAAAGGGGGAGCCCTTTTTTTTTTACATAAAAGTCTTCAAAAGCACACAGACGAAAGAAGACCTACCCCCCAACCTCGCCACTCCACGGTAAAGCACATACAGGATTTGGTTCTGAATGGCCTAGATGATGAAGCATTCACACACGCGTTACGGATCTGACACACCAACATGCAGCCATGGCAGGTGCCTTCGAGCATCTTCCCCACAGAAGATTTCCGAGTCACTGGCATTGCCACTGAGTCTGCCCTCTGAGCAGACTGGGGCCCCCTTTTTCCTTGAGTGGAAAGGGTGGGCTCACTTTTTTTTTTTTGGCAGGATCTTGGTTGGTTAGATTAGGTTTGGGGTTTTCACGGGGTCATAATCGGCAAGCTCTGCTGCCGGATAACATCCAGAGCAGGATAATCTGGATTCCTACCGTCGACCAGAGTGATGGGCTCAGTCCAGAGGCTCCACCACACTCGGCTGAATCGTCCTGTAGGTAAGAAAGAGAGAGAGAGAGATTAGAAGTAGCTGAAACATTAGTAAAGAGATGTTGACTTTTTAAGCTTCTCACCGAGAACCCTTTTGTGCAACTTAGTCTCCACGAGTGGACCCATGTGAGCATCAGGCTCCTGGACGGTCCCTCAAGCAGGGCTTTTCAACCAGGGGTACGGGTACCACCTGTGGTACATTGGCACCTGGCAGGTGGTACGCGACCATCCTAGAAAAGTGGTAGCGGGGGAGGGGAATGAGCTGAACCGGTGGCAGCACTGCACAAGCCTGAGCGAGAGATGGCTGGAGCTGCAGGGCTGTCAGGGCTCAGCGGAAGCGCCAGGATCAGCACCAGAATCCAGCTGGAGCTCAGCGCTGATCCTGGTGCTTCTGCTGAGCCCTGAAGAAGCACCAATCAGCTGGAATGTTGCAGCCTCTCCAGGGTCTTGTGATTTACATTCAGATGCTTGGCAACTGATTCATATTTATGACGGTCACAGTGTCCCAGGGTCATGTGAAGTGACCAAAACCTGCTGCAACCACCCAGCAGACTGGTGGAATAAAGACCAAACACCCCCTACCCCATTCCTGCTGCCAATCCTCAACAGAAATGCTCACAACAATGAAAACCTCGGAGAGGTGGGCAGGCAGGTGTCTTCCTCAGCTGTGGCTTGGGGGGCACTTTTTTCAGTGCCATTGTAACTTCAAACAGCCACTAAGCAAACTGTTGTAAGTCAAGAACTACCTGTACTTTATCAATTTTTTCCTTTTTTTCCTTTGGTCATCAAGTTTTTGACACCTTGCTAGGCGACTGGTGGTACTCAGATGTTGCCATATCCTAAAAATGGTACAATGGGTGAAAAGGTTGAAAAGCCCTGCCCTAAAGTACTAATAAGATTATTTGTAAGATTATCTGGGACACTACCCATCCACTTCACGACCTGTTTTCCTGGTTACCCTCTGGGAGGGGGGGAGCTCTGTGGTATCTGAAGCAGAACATCCAGATTCAGCCATAGTTTCATTCCATGCAGCATTAACCTTGTGAACTCTCAAGCTTCCTCCTTCCATTATATATTCCAGACGGACAGTGAACAATATTTATATGTTACTTATATGTAAGAGTGTAGGTCTATACATATGTTGTATATAGTATGTTTAGGTGTGTGTCATGTATGTGTTCACTTTGAGAGCGGGAACTAAATTTCATTTTTGATGTGTGCTGTTGTGCCCACAGTAAAAAAAATGTCAATAAAGGTTATCTTATCTTGCCTTGCCTTGCTTTGCTTTCCCTTGTCTCCTCTTCTTATCTCATCTCATCTCATCTCAGCATCCCATCTTATCTTATCTGGTTTCATTTAAAGGCCATTTTAAAATAGCTCAGTCACAAAGTAATTAACTGAAATTATTAATTTTGGTTATTGATCAGCCTTAAATAATACAGGAGTGTGCCCATTTTTCTAAGCCAGTGGTTCTCAACCTGTGGGTCGGGACCCCATTTGGGGTCGAACGACCATTTCACGGGGGTCGCCAAACAACGCAGTCTGCCATTTTTTTCCCCCTTTTCCTTAGCTGTGCTACTCCCTTTTATTCTATTGGCTTTTGAAAGCCAATAGAATAGACTCTCTTGAATAGAGTCTAATTCTATTGGCTTTCAAAAGCCAATAGGAATTGTCCAGGCTGTCTCTGCCCTGCTGAGCCCGCCAAAAGTCCCATTCTGCAAACGGTGCTGCACCAGTTGAGTAGTCCTCGACTTACGACCGGTTGGGGAGGTCGCGGCATTAAAAAGGTTGAGAACCACTGCCATAGACAGTTAGAGCAGGGGTCTTCAAACTTGGCAACTTTAAGACTTGTGGACTTCAACTCCCAGAATTCCTCAGCCAGCCCTGAGGAGTTGAAGTTCACAAGTCTTAAAGTTGCCAAGTTTGAAGACCCCTGAGATAGAGGTTTCATTGCAAATTGTCAGCTGGTCCAACTAAAGCCACCTTTTGCAATTGACTGATGGGGAATCCGTCAATGCCGATGGGGTTCAAGTGGTCCTCCAGCTGTTTTGGGATTGCACCCATCACTGCTAAAAGGGAGTGGGATTTATGGAGAAGGAAGAGGAGGAGTAGGACTGTGTGGTCCTTGATGGAAACTTAATCAACGGTGGCATTTCTACTGTACACTTTTCCCAAAAGGTTCCCACCATTTTGGCCACTACTAGATAAGTGATAAGACAGATCTCCTCATAATCATCTGTACATTGTTTTCATTTTTATTCTCTTCTTTATTCAAGAAATGCTGTTGATTCCAATGTTTGTATTAGCAGACAGCACTACTGAAAACATACAGCTATGATTTTGTGGATATTAAGCAAGCCAAGTTATCTCAGACTGATTTTGTTCTTTTAGATTGATTTGTTGCTGTTACGGTTTTATGGTGATTTTTATATTAAACAGTACCAGCTCTACAAACTCAACCAATGTCTAAGACTACTGTCTACTTGGGCTGTGCGAAGTTTTGATTGAAGAACAGTTCATTTAAACCATCCTTTTGAGTGATGTTCAAACCACAAATTCAAACTGACTCGACGCAACTCTTTGAATTGAAATGCAAATTCTAATTAAATTGCCTCGAATCCTTAAATTAGATCTTGGCTGACTCACGTACCCATATTGTCTGCATAAATTCAGAGACTAGCACATGGATGTATAACAGGAACGAGGAGAAGAGGCTGGCCAGAAGTTCTATCTTGTCAAACTCTCTCTTAATTGACAACCAGAAGGCCACAGTTGGGCCAGGAAAACTTTCTTCTTTAGAAAGTTACTAAAAACTGGATTAAGAATGTTAACCACGTAAAGTCTACACTCCTTCCTTGGATTATGGACCATCCCTTTCATATCAAAATTAAAGATCTACAAAAACAATTAAATGAAAATAGAAAAATCTAGTGTGGCGATCCCAATAGACCTTGAGAGAGAGTGGAAGGGCTTAACGTTGGAAGAACAAACAAGTGAATTGATGACCCAAAAATAAAAAAAAACTGAACTAATTAAAGATTTTCTCAGGAAAGAAGTAGAGGGGGAAGGGAAGGGAAGGGAGAGGGGAGGAGAGGAGAGGAGGGGAGAAGGGAGGAGGGGGGAGAGGAAGGGGAAAGAGAACGGGAAATGGAAGGGAAGGGAGGAGAGGAGGGGAGGGGAGGGAGAGGAAGGGAGGGGAGAAGGGAGGGGAAGAGGAAGGGGAAGGAGAAAGGGAAAGGGAAGGGAGGAGAGGAGAGGGGGAAGAGGAAGGAGAAGGGGAAATGGAAGGGAGGAGAGGAGAGGAGAGGAGAGGAAAGGAAAGGAAAGGAGAGGAGAGGAGGGGAAGGGAGGGGAGAAGGGAGGGGAGGAAAGAGGAAGGGAGAGGAAGGGAGGGGAGAAGGGAGGGGAAGAGGAAGGGGAAGGAGAAAGGGAAAGGGAAGGGAGGAGAGGAGAGGAGAGGAGAGGAAAGGAAAGGAAAGGAGAGGAGAGGAGGGGAAGGGAGGGGAGAAGGGAGGGGAGGAAAGAGGAAGGGAGAGGAAGGGAGGGGAGAAGGGAGGGGAAGAGGAAGGGGAAGGAGAAAGGGAAAGGGAAGGGAGGAGAGGAGAAGGGGAAGAGGAAGGAGAACGGAAAATGGAGGAGAGGAGAGGAGGGGAGGAGAGGGGAGAGGAAGGGAGGGGAAGGGGGAAGGGGAAGCAGAAAGGGAAGGGGAGGAGAGGAAAGGAGGGGAGAAAGGAGGAGAGGGGAGAAGGGGAAGGGGAAGGAGAAAGGGAAAGGGGAAGGGAGAGGGGGAGGGAGGAGAGGGGAGGATTGGAGAGGAGGGGAGAAGGGAGGAGGGGGAGAGAAAGGGGAAAGAGAACAGGAAATGGAAGGGAAGGAAAGGGAAGGGAAGGGAGGAGAGGAAAGGAAGGGAGAAAGAAGGAGAGGGGAGAAGGGGAAGGGGAAGGAGAAAGGGAAAGGGGAAGGGAAGGGAAGGGAAAGGAGAGGGGGAGGGAGGAGAGGGGAGGAGAGGAGAGGAGGGGAGAAGGGAGGAGAGGGGGGAGAAAGGGGAAAGAGAACAGGAAATGGAAGGGAAGGGAAGGGAAGGGAGGAGAGGAGGGGAGGGGAAGGGAGAGGAAGGGAGGGGAGAAGGGGGGAAGGGGAAGGAGAAAGGGAAAGAGAAGGGAGGAGATGAGAGGAGAGGAGGGGAGGGAAAGGGAGGGGAGAAGGGAGGGGAGGGGAGGGGAGGAGGGGAGGGGGGAAGGGGCAGGGGAAGGAGAAAGGGAAGGGAAGGGACGAGAGAAGAGGAGGGGAGAAAGGAGGAGAGGGGAGAAGGGGAAGGGGAAAGAGAAGGAGAAAGGGAAGGGAGGAGAGGAGGGGAGAAGGGGAAGGGGGGAAGGAGAAAGGGAAGGGAGAAAGAGGAGGGGAGAAAGGAGGAGAGGGGAGAAGGGGAAGGGGAAAGAGAAGGAGAAAGGGAAGGGAGGAGAGGAGGGGAGAAGGGGAAGGGAAGGAGAAAGGGAGAAGGAGAGGAGAGGGAGGGGAAAGAGAAGGAGAAAGGGAAGGGAGGAGAGGAGGGGAGAAGGGGAAGGGGAAAGAGAAGGAGAAAGGGAAGGGAGGAGAGGAGAGGAGGGGAGAAAGGAGGAGAGGGGAGAAGGGGAAGGGGGAAGGGGAAAGGGAAAGGGAAGGGGAAGGGAGAGGGGAGGGGGAAAGGGGAGGATCTTACCCCACTCCTAACCTCTTTCTGAGAGAAACTAAGTTCTGAACAAGCCTATATACATCACTCGTTCCTTTGTCATCGGTTTTGTGCATTCTTAGCCCCCTTTATATTCTTGCAAAAAAAAAAAAACAACAACCTTTGGGGTAGGGGAAATGAAATAAAAACACAAAATTAGAGAAAGTAACTGACCATCCACACCACATGAAAACGTGCAGAAAAATGAAGACAGAAGTGGGCGTCATGGCAGTGGCGAAGCTCCGCGTGCACAGAGGCTGATCCTATTAATAACGGGCAAAGTAGCAAAGAGAGGAAAGGAAAGGAAACACAGAGAAGAAACACACAGAAGATGAAACTCCATGCAGTTGGCTAGCTGACAGAAGAGATAATGCGAAAAGCAAAAAAAAAAAAAAAAGCAAAGAATTTTTACGAGAAAGAACTGGAAAGGAAACTTAACCCCAAATACCAAAGTGTTACCGTTGCATGACTAACAGGGCACATCAAGCTAATAAGCAAGACTCCGTTGTACGTTCACACACAAATACCCAATGTTGTTGATCGGGGAAATCAACAAATGTTTCAGAGAGCCCTTTGCACTGTTCCCAGCAAAGCCGAAGTTCTCGTAGGTCAACGTTTTCGTTGTTCTTATGTCTTCAAACAGGCACCTTTGTTGCAACCTAAAGGTCTCTGGACTCTCCATCATCCAGGTCATGGTTGTCCCAAAGGTGCTTTTCCAGGAGGCAACTGGCCTTCCTTTGTTTTTCTTTGAAGATGTTTTTTTGCTTCTCGTCTAAGAAGCTGAAGAAACTTCTTGGAGGAGAAGCGAAACGTCTTCAAAGAGAAACAAGAAAGTCCAGTTACATATTATTGTATGGAGAAGATGGATAGATTATATTCAGAAAAAATATGGGACGATAAAGTTTCATTTATTTTATGAGTAAATTTTATAGTAACTGTTGGAGAGAGTTGTTTATACGACTTAATTTAAGGGGAGTTAAAGGTTAAGTATGATTTTTTTTTTCTCTTTTCTTTTTCATTATTGTTAACTTTCTTAATAATAACCCTGTATTGTGCTCTGCGAAGCGAGGGTGGGTGGGTGGGTGAGTGGGTGGGTAATGATCATATAGTCATGGTAAACGCTTGGGCATTTCCCCTAGGCTGCGTTCATGTGTGTGAGAGGGATGAGAGGGGAGGAAGGAGTAGGGAGGAAGTAGGATGGTTAGAGGAGAAGGGGAGGGGAAGAGAGTAGGAGGGGAGGAGAGAAAGAGGAGGGAAGTGGGGAAGGATGAGAGAGGGTGGACGCAGCCTGGGGGGAATGGGCAGGCGGTACCAATGGTTAGGAATTTAATTGTATTTTGTATGAACAAATGGAAAATAAAAACTTTTTTAATAAAAAAAGAAAGTCCAGTTTGCCTCCTGAAAAAGCACCTTTAGGGTTCCAACCTAAACCAAGATCTTGGACTGTAACATTGTGGCCTGAGAAAACTCCCTTGGAATCACAGAATCACGGATTCCTAAGGACTGGAAGCAGTGGTGGGATTCAGCCGGTTCGCACCACTTTGGCAGAACCGGTAGCTAATTGTTTTGTTGCCCAGGCCCAGAATGGACCTCTGGAAGTGGCATCCACACAGAGAATTGGTTGTTCACATATTTGAATCCCACCACTGGATGGATGGATGGATGGATGGATGGATAGATAGATAGATAGATAGATAGATAGATAGATAGATAGATAGATAGATAGATAGATAGATAGATAGATGTTACCTAGCCTGGTAATGAAACATTTGGAAATCAACCCAAAAGCCACTCTGGCAGAACCGGTAGCTAATTTTTTTGTTGCCCAGGCCCAGAATGGACTTCTGTAAGCGGCATCCACACAGAGAACCAGTTGTTCACATATTTGAATCCCATCACTGGATGGATGGATAGATAGATAGATAGATAGATAGATAGATAGATAGATAGATAGATAGATAGATAGATAGATAGATAGATAGATGTTACCTAGCCTGGTAATGAAACATTTGGAAATCAACCCAAAAGCCACTCTGGCAGAACCGGTAGCTAATTTTTTTGTTGCCCAGGCCCAGAATGGACTTCTGTAAGCGGCATCCACACAGAGAACCAGTTGTTCACATATTTGAATCCCATCACTGGATGGATGGATGGATAGATAGATAGATAGATAGATAGATAGATAGATAGATAGATAGATAGATAGATAGATAGATAGATAGATAGATAGATAGATAGATAGATGTTACCTAGCCTGGTAATGAAACATTTGGAAATCAACCCAAAAGCCACTTCAGCAGAACTGGTAGCTAATTTGTTTTGTTGCCCAGGCCCAGAATGGACTTCTGTAAGCGGCATCCACACAGAGAACCAGTTGTTCACATATTTGAATCCCATCACTGGATGGATGGATGGATGGATAGATAGATAGATAGATAGATAGATAGATAGATAGATAGATAGATAGATAGATAGATAGATAGATGTTACCTAGCCTGGTAATGAAACATTTGGAAATCAACCCAAAAGCCACTTCAGCAGAACTGGTAGCTAATTTGTTTTGTTGCCCAGGCCCAGAATGGACCTCTGGAAGTGGCATCCACACAGACAACCGGTTGTTCACGTATTTGAATCCCACCACTGGCTGGAAGGGACCTTGGAGGTCTTCCAGGAAACCCAAAGAAGGAGACATTATTGCACTTAGCAAAGACTGAATCCCAAATAAAGATAGAGAACTTTTATTTCACAAGTTGTCTACCGCCTTAAAAAAAAGAAAAACTTGTGTTAAAAAAAAAAATGTGTTAAAAAAAATTAAATCATGGGTTTTCATGACTGTCATGGTCTGTATAACCACCAGTCTGAAATTTTATGGAGGACTCCCCTGTTGAACAGTTGAAAGCCAACGCAATCTTTGTGTTCCAATATGTGAGGTTTTAACACACACCTATATATATTTGTGAGTGTATGTATGTGTAGCCTCTTTTACTGCTATCTATCTGTCTTGGATCTAACCTTCTCTGTCGAAGTTAAATATTTTATTCCACAATTAAATGTATCTCTCTTGGATCTAACCTTTTCTGTCAAATTTAAATATTTGTTCCAAAATTGCTTTGCTGGATTCTAGCAATCGTGAGGACACCAATTATTGTTATTATTATGGATCATCACACAGTCAGCCAGATGTTCAGACTGGATTTGGCATTTTTGTCTACCTATCGAGTCCTTCCCAAGGACCTGGGATAGGCAGATGTGGATGTTTGATGGTATTACAGATATCGTCGCAGGATGGAAGCAGTTCCTAGTAAGGCCCCCTTTTGCAATTGACTAATAGCGAATTTGTCAATGCCAATGATGTTCAAGTGGTGCTCCAGTTGTTTTGGGATTGCACCCAAGGATCCTATCTTCTTTATTATTATTATTATTATTATTATTATTATTATTATTATTAAATATCATGGGCACTTCATAATATGAGCAAAATTAAGTAATTAGATCTGTGTCCTTGTGATCATGCACCATCCTTTTACAGGGAATCCTCTTTGAAAGAGAGAAGTAATATCCTCCAGATCACAGCGTGCCCACGAATAAAGAGATTTGGAACAGGGAAAATGCATTATGCCCATGAGTCAGAAGGGAGGGGAAAAAAACAAAACAAAACACAATATCTAAAAGTTCATTTTTCAAGGATGTTTGAAGCCACCGTGGAAGTGTGCCATGGCTGTGCGGAGGAAGCCAGCACAGACTGTCCTATTTTTTTTTTTTTTTTAGATAGAAATTGTGTGTGAAAGCACAATCACTGCAGCTCGGAAAAAGCAGCCCTTGGTTTTATGTTAATTGTGAGAACATTTGCATTAGAACGGCTCTGATCTGGAAGGAGCAGTATGTGTAATGAGAGAGAGAGAGAGAGAGAGAGAGAGAGAGAGAGAGAGAGAGAGAGAGAGAGAGAGAGAGAAGTCAAGGATGGAAACTATTCTCAGGAGAGGAGAAAGAAGAAAAAAAAAGATCTTATGTCTAAGAGGCCCCTTCCTCAAAAGAGAAGACTTACTTTAGCATCATCAAAGCAGGCGTCGGGTCCTTTTCTGTACCTGGGGTGTTGAACCATTTCACAGGGATTAGGTCCTTCATCTGCCCCTTGATTAAGGAACACAACACAACCTTCATATAGCAGAACAAAGTGAAGAGGGAGAGAAGAGCTTTTGCTATCGGAGCAAAGAACAAGATGGCCCACCCCGTCCCAGGTTCCGTAAGCCAACCAATCCTGGAGCTTCAACTGAACGTGTCCATTTTGATGACAACGTCGCTCAACCTTGGCGACCACTAGCTTTGGAGCCAGCAATCTGTTGGGGCTTTATCTCTACCGTCTACTGCTCCCTCTTGTTGTGATAAGGCTGGGCGTGTATTGGAGCTTAGAAGGCTATCTCATTCAGTCCAAGAGGCTTATGGGGTGGGGGTGGATTGTGTGACCTATCCTCCTGTAGTAGAAGGCATACTTGTGAATTGTCTTGTTGTATGTATAGAGAAAGGGGTTGAGGACCGAAAGATCAAGGGGGGAAAAAAATGATAATATTGAGAATATATTGGACGTGAGATGAGGATAAGATACTGTAATGCTGACATCCTTTAAAAAAGAGAGAGAGAGAGACAGGCAAGAATTGTTATATATAGAAAGAGTAAATTGCTTAACTGGTTTTGTTTTATTTATTTATTTCGTTCTGCCTTTATCATTTTTATAAATTCCTTAAGGACATTTTTAATATTCCTCTCTCCTTCTATTTCCCCACAACAAGAATCCTGTGAGGTGGGTTAGGCTGTTTGAGAGTGACTGGCCCAAACTACTCAGCTATCTTTCATGCTAAGGTGGTGCCAGAACTCTCAGTCTCCTGGTGAATGCCTCAAAGTCACCCAGCTGGCTTTGGTGCCTAAGGTGGGACTAGATCTCACTGTCTTCTGGTGATTGGCCCAAAATCACCCAACTGGCTTTTGTCTCTAAGGTGGAACTAGAATTCACTGTTTCCTGGTGATTGACCCAAAATCACCCAACTGGCTTTTGTATCTAAGGTGGAACTAGAATTCACTGTTTCTTGGTGATTGACCCAAAATCACTCAACCGGCTTTTGTGTCTAAGGTGGGACTAGAACTCACTGTCTTCTGGTGATTGGCCCAAAATCACCCAACCAGCTTTTGTCTCTAAGGTGGGACTAGAACTCACTGTCTTCTGGTGGTTGGCCCAAAATTACCCAACCGGCTTTTGTGCTTAAGGTGGGACTAGAAATTACCCAACCGGCTTTTGTGCTTAAGGTGGGACTAGAACTCACTGTCTTCTGGTGGTTGGCCCAAAATCACCCAACTGGCTTTTGTCTCTAAGGTGGAACTAGAATTCACTGTTTCCTGGTGATTGGCTCAAAATCATCCAAAATCATCCATGGCTTTTGTGTCTAAGGTGGGACTAGAACTTACTGTGTCTTGTTGATTGGCCCAAAGTCACCCAACTGGTTTTCATACCTAAGCAGGACTAGAACTCACAGACTCCTGGTTTCTAGCCTGGTGCCTTCACCACTAGACCAAACTGGTTGTTTTTTTTAAAAAAAATAGTGATATTGTTCTAAAGCTATGGTGATGTTTTATCCTGGAGAAGGTCTATCTCTGTCTATTTGTAAAAATCAATGCTGACTTAATGGAACACAATCAATGAACCAGTCAATGGTAAGGACATATTAAGACTGCACAGAAAGAATGCTGGTGTGTGGAATAGCATAACATCACACCCACACACAGAGACAACTACTGATCCAGGTTATAGTTTAGAATCAGATTCTCCAGCTGTTTCCAATATTCTTTTGTAAGCATATACACATCCAGTCTCAAGTCTAAGCAGGAAAGGATATCAGGCTTCTCTGCTTGCATCAATGGCCTCGCATCACAATGATGACACAACTCTTTACTGTCGCTCATGATGAAAACCAAATTGGTGTTGGAAATCTTCTCTGCATGAAAAAGCCTGAGGAGGAAAGCCAAAAGGACACCAAGGAGTGAAAGGCTGAGATCCAGGAAACGAGTCTTGCCCTCATTCTTCAATGTCAATATTAACGTAGGAACAAAGATTTATGCAAATATTGTCTGGAATAGCCGCAATAGTCATTTGGCACAGTTGTGTGATGGAAACGCAGTCTGGATTCCAGAGTGCTTCCAGGGGAAGCAGAAGGCAACTCAGCCAAGAGAGTTTGTGTGAGAGAAAGAGGGTGAAGATGGTTCCTCCTCAACAGTTCCCAGAGTATATGCTTTATGGAAATGTTAGCATGCTTTAGTTTGGCAAGATTCTGTCTTTAGGCGAGGAACAATCATTTTTTTAAAAAAATTGCTTGGAAGAATCACAGTGTGTCTTTCTTAGTTTATGCAGCCTGGCATGTTATTTCTAAGAGCAAAGAAGGTTCATGACACCGTTCTGCTTCAGTTGCAATCCTTTGAAAAGCATCATGCTGACCCTTGCAAGGGATATGGCTACCTTCATGGTCAAAGCAATGCGCTTCTCACACCTTCTATTCCATAATATTCCATAATAAGGACTGTAAAACACATGCTATTGAAATGCATATAAATTGTGCAGAATTTCAGATTTGATCTTCAAAAGAGCACATACAGCAGTGGCCAAAATTGTGGAAACCTTTTGGGAAAAGTGTACAGTAGAAATGCCACCTTTGGTTCAGTTTCCACCCATTTTTCTTCTAATTTGTTTATAACTATAGCCTTGTTCACTTAGTAATATTATTTTACATCGCTTTCTGGGCAACCTATCAACTTTTTGCACCATTACTTTAATTTTATTACATTTTACAAGCTCACTAAATGAAAGAACGCAAAAAAAACCCAACTAACCTGATAGCAATCACATAACACACTGACCAATGTCCTCCTCTCAGCTTCAATACATGACATCAATCATTGGATCCTACTGTGATCTGATTGGCTCATTGCCAAAACAAGATGGCACCTGATTGACTCTCTAAACACTCCTGCTCATTGGCTACAATTAGATGAAGGAAAGCTACCTGAGATCAGCCTGAGCAAGTTGTGTTTCCTTTTTCTGGTTATTTGGCTATAACGTTTCGTAGAATACAGTACAGATAATTGAACAAACTTTGTTGCATTACATTCGTGATTAAATTATCTTTCCATTGATATATAAATTTATGATACTACTCCAAAAAAAAGTGGTGTTATTAGCCATCAAACCTCAAAAATACACTTTTCCCAAAAGGTTACCACAATTTTGGCCACGACTGTATGTAGTCTCCTTCTGCAGTCCTTTAAAAGCAGCAATTCGAGGGGGGGGGGAGTGGCTGTTTTAAAGGTTGCAAAGCCATATTTATGCACCTGTTATGTTTGCTTCTTTATATTTTAAATATTAAGAGGGAAGGGGAAATGTGTGAAGAGCTTCGAAGTGACACCTACCTAGAACAGTTGATACAATCCAGAATGCCATTGAAGGATTTCTCATCATTCCCAAAGAAATATTGTGTTTGTACCGTGATACAACTCTGTTTAGACAGGATCCCACTGAAGTCCTCCTCTTCCACTTCCACTGGAGAAGAAACAACACGGTCATCTCTACAGGAATCTGCCAAGGGAGGCATCCTCTCTCCCCAGTTGCTTGACTTACCTGCCCCAAGGAAACGTGGGAAGGTCAGCCCCCAGACGAGCTGCTGCAAAATAGACCTAGATCAACAAAGAGATAGAATAACTACATCAGAATCCATCACAGCCAATATAGCAATGAAGAATTCTTACAGACTAGCACTGATGATGTTCCCTAGTTGGATAATGAAACGTCTGCAAGAAAACAGCCAAGCTCAGAGAGCACCAAGGACCCCCAAATCTTCTTCTTCCTCTTCCTGCTCCTCCCCACAAACCCCATTCCCTTCCAGCACTGAAGGTGTTACCTAATCAGGTAATAAAAGTTTTGCAAGAAAACCACCAAGCTCAGAGAGCACCAAGGACCCCCCAATCTTCTTTCTCCTCCTCCTCCTCCTCTTCCTCCTCCTCCTCCTCCTCCCCCCTCCTCCTCTTCTTCTTCTTCTTCTTCTTCTCCTCCTACTCCTTGTCCTCGTCCTCGTCCTCACACTCCCTTCTACCACTGATGATGTTGCCTAGTTTGGTAATGAAACATCTGCAAGAAAATAGCCAAGCTCAGAAAGCACCAAGGACCCCACAGTCCTTCCTCCTCCTCCTCCTCCTCGTCTTTCTCCTCCTCCTCACACCTCTCTCCCTTCTAGCACTGATGATGTTCCCTAGTTGTGTAATGAAACGTCTGCAAGAAAACAAGCAAGCTCAGAGAGCACCAAATACCCCCCAATCTTCTTTCTCCTCCTCCTCCTCCTCCTCCTCCCCCTCCCTCCCACATTCCCTTCTACCACTGATGATGTTGCCTAGTTTGGTAAAGAAACATCTGCAAGAAAACAGCCAAGCTCAGAAAGCACCAAGGACCCCACAGGCCTACTCCTCCTCCTCCTCCTCCTCCTCTTCCTCCTCTTTTTCCTCCTCATCACACCCCTCTCCCTTCTAGCACTGATGATGTTCCCTAGTTGGGTAATGAAACGTCTGCAAGAAAACAAGCAAGCTCAGAGAGCATCAAGGAGCCCCCATTCCATGTTTTGTATACATACAGGTAGTTATCAACTTATGACTGGTCCCTTAGTGGCCATTCAAAGTTATGACAGAACCCCCCCCCATAAGGTACTTTCAGCCTGGTTCTGAAGTTCTGATGTCCATCTTGGCCCCCTCCAACAATCACATCACTGGATTTTGGGCACTTGGCAACTGGCCCATATTTACAGCTGTTGGCAACATCCCACAACCGCACAACTGCAATTTATGATGTTTTTTTTTGTCAAAAAAGTGGCGTTTACTTCTGATTTGGGGCAAAACATCCCATAGGTGGACAATGGGCTTGTTTAATGACCACAGATTTGCTCGATGGCTGCAGTGGTTCTCTTAATGAGCATTGCAAAAAAAAAAAGTTCATAAAATTGGCTCGGTTACATGGGTGACCTGCTTTACAACTGTCATATCTTATGACCGTAACAGCCTCCATTAGGATCATAAGTTGAGGATTATCTATGCCAAAAAGTATGCAATGAGAGAAGCAAGGTTAAGACCTCAGTAAAATCATTAATTTCCTAGTAAGATCCGGGGCTATGTATACCTGATGTATTTTAAATAAAACAACATTGGTCTTTTTTACTGCCTGGAGAAATCAAAATGGGTAAAACCATCAGACAGGATAGATAGTACATTGTGTCAAAATTCATAAATTTCTCTAAAGGATGGGTGGAACTCATGTGAAACTTTTGGAAAAGGACAAGGGGGGACATGATAGCAGTGTTCCAATATCTCAGGGGCTGCCCCAAAGAAGAGGGAGTCAAGCTATCCTCCAAAGCGCCTGAAGGCAGGACAAGAAGCAACGGGTGGAAACTAATCAAGGAGAGAAGCAACCTAGAACTAAGGAGAAACTTCCTGACAGTGAGAACAATTAATCAGTGGAACAGCCTTGCCTCCAGAAGCAGTAAATGCTCCAACACTGGAAGTTTTTAAGAAGAGACTGGACAGCCATTTGTCCGAAATGGTGTAGGGTTTCCTGCCCGAGCAGGGGGTTGGACTAGATGACCTCCAAGGTCCCTTCCAACTTTACTATTATTATTATTATTATTATTATTATTATTATTATTATTACTATATCTGTCTGAGAACTTAAGGAAAGGAAATTGAAATCTACAAACCAATTAGACAATGGATAAATCAAATAACCCTTAAGTTATGAGCAGAGCAGAAGTACACTTTGGCCAAGAATTTTATTTCTCACTTCCCCTTCACTTGCAAAAATGTCCAAGGATTATTATTATTATTATTATTTAGATCTTCTATGTTAATGTTACAGCTCTATAAACTTTCCCTTCCTCTTCCTATCATACACGATGGCCTGGTAAAATGAATCAAGCTATTTTACCAGTCAAAAAAGCCAATACAGTCCTCGGTTGTATAAACAGAGGCATAGAACCAAAACCACGTGAAGTATTAGTACCGCTTTATAAAGCTTTAGTAAGGCCACACCTGGAATACCGCATCCAGTTTTTGGTCTCCACATTACAAAAAAGATGTTGAGTCTTTGGAAAAAGGGCAAAGAAGAGCAACGGACATGATTTAAAGGCCTGGAGGCTAAAACATATGAAGAACGGTTGCAGGATTTGGGTTTGGCTAGTCTAGAGAAAAGAAGGACTAGGGGGGACATGACAGCAGTATTCCAATATTTGAGGGGCTACAAGGAAGAGGAGGGACAACCTATTCTCTAAAGCAGCGTTTCTCAACGTTTGTGTGACGGTGACCCCAGTCACATGGACGTGCCGCGCATGCACGGCACGCATGTGCAGCGCCACCCCCATGCGCAGCGCACATGCGCGACGGCACCCCCATGTGCGGCGCGCATGCGTGGGCCGCCCCCATGCGCACCGCCCCCATGCGCATGCGCGGCGCCGCCCCCTGAGGGGGGGGAATGGCGGATTGCGTTGTTTGGCGACCCCCGTAAAATGGTCGTTCGACCCCAAATGGGGTTGCGACCCATAGGTTGAGAACCGCTGCTCTAAAGCAACTGAACGTAGGACAAGAAACAATGGATGGAAACTAATCAAGGAGAGAAGCAACCTGGAATTAAGGAGAAACTTTCTAACAGTCAGAACAATTAACCAGTGGAACGGCTTGCCTCCAGAAGTGGTGGATGATCCGTCACTGGAGGTTTTCAAGAAGATAATGGATATGCTCCTGTCTGAAATGGTACAGGGTCTCCTGCTTGAGCAGGGGGTTGGACTAGAAGTTGTCCAAGGTCTCTTCCAACTCTATTCTGATTGATTTCCCATAGAATCGTATCTTATGACAGCCTGACCTCTCTCAATAAGATTGCAGAATAAGAAAGATACCTAGATGGGTTCAAGCCTCTAATTATTGTAGCTTTGTCTTTCTGAAATTGATAGTTGTTCTGTCCTAGCCTACGTGAGTCCTTGTTAAACTCACAAGGAGAAACCCCTCTTCCAAGAAACGGGCAGGAACCGCAAGAAAAAACCAATCCCCTTTTATTCTCACAGACCTGAGTCAATGTCCAAGGCAAACAAACACAGTCCACAGAAACTCAATCCTCAACACGAATGGTTGCTTTCGGCAACCAGCACCTCCCACACCTTCCCTTTTATAATTCAGCCAAGGTGTGGCTTCCTAATGCCTTCTTCTTTGCCTTTGGAGCCGCCCCATTGCATTCCTCTGTCCTACTCGCTTCTCTTGCCTGCGCTTTTGGGCATCCGGGATTTGTCCCAGCTGTTCTTCATTCAACTCAGGCTCCCAGCACAGCTGTGTCTCAGCCTGAGCGTGAGTAGAAGGGCCAGGCTCCTGATCCGACTGTAAGTCTTGGAGCTCCTCAGAGCCTTCCTCTGACTCTGATGTCACTCCAGGCCCCTCCTCCTCGTCCGATTCCTCAGACTCAGCTGCCGGATCCACTCGCTGGCGAGGAATCACAACAATAGTGTCCTTCTCACCTCCCCACCAGACATTCCTTCTACCCCATTCTCTGCTTATGCTCCCTTGATCAGTCGTGAATCATTAACACGGAACATCTCTAAGACTACAAATGTACTCAATCTAGTTTCTTCCCACTGATTTTTAAAATCCAATGTTCTCCTTTTATCCTGGTGACATATCAGTGGGCCCTTTCTCATCTCTGCAAATCTGTACCAATACAGTCAGAGGGAAGAGGTAAAGGACAGGTCATTCTTGAATTATGACCACCACTGAGCCCAAAATTGTCTGTTGCTAAGCTGGCCATTTGTTAAGTGAGTTTTGCCCCATTTTGTGACCTTTCTTGCCACAGTTGTTAAGTGGATCACTGTAGTTACGTTAGGAACACGGTTGTTAAGAGTGAAACTGGCTTCCCCACTGACTTTGCTGATCAGAAGGTCGTAAAAAGAGGATCACGTTACCCAGGGACCCTGTCACCATCATAAATGAGCCGAGGTGGCGCAGCAGTTAGAGTGCAGTACTGCAGGCTACTTTAGCTGACTGTGTTCAGCAGGTCAGCGGTTCAAATCTCACCGGCTCAAGATTGACTCAGCCTTCCATCCTTCCGGGGTAGGTAAAATGAGGACCCAGATTGTTGGGGGCAATGTAAATATATATATATACATTGCTTACTGGTGTACACCACTTAGAGAGTGCTTGCACTTAAAGCGGTATATAAGTCTCATAAATAAATAAAGTCTCATAAATAAATAAATATGAATCAGTTGCCAAGCTTCTGAATTTTGATCACATGACCGGGGGGATGCTTCAAAGGTCGTAAGTGTGAAAAACGGTCATAAGTCACTCTTTTTCCGTGCGGTGGTAACTTTGAATGGTCACTAAACAAGCTATTGTAAGGTGAGGATGACCTGTATTGAAGTCAAACTACAGGTTCTCCTTAGCGACTGTTCAAACTTTCGATGGGTCTCCCCAGAGCTACTTATGACCTGATTTTGAAATGTTGATGGCCACAGTCGTGTGATCACAGTCTGCACACTTGGCATATCGGTGGGAACTAATTCTTCCTACTCACCGAGTTTGATCAAGGCCTTGGTGAAGCTCAAATGTGTAATAATCCTATCTGCAAAAAACTTAACTTACCAGGCAGCTGCTGAGGCCCACCATCCAAGATGTAAAATATCTGCTATTGTAGGCTGGAAAAGAGGAAGCAAAGAGCGTAATCTTAGAAGAATCTCTAAAAACACCTATGGCAGTGGTGGCGAACCTATGGCACGGGTGCCAGAGGTGGCACTCGGAGCCCTCTCTGTGGGCACACATATCGTCTCCCTAGCCCCGCCTCCTCCCATGGCCCCCTCCTCACCAGCAGCCCCCCCCCGGAGGAGAGGTGCCCCTGAGCGCAGTCCACACGAAGCAACGGAGGCAAAGATATGGTAGCTGGACGGTGGGGACAAGACTCTGCCCTTGCGCTCCGTTGCACACAGATGATGCTGCGGGGCACGGGCAGAGGGCATGGCTGCCATGGTGCTACTGGGCTGCCTGGGTGATCTGTGGCAGGCTGTGGAGGTGGTGGGTGGCTCAGTGGGCAGGGCAGAGCGGGGACAGGGGTGGGGGCAGTTTTTGGGCACTCAGTGTCTAAAAGGTTCGCCATCACTGACCTATGGGTTGTCTCCCTCCAACTTCCAGATATTGAATAACTTATTTGTTTTATGGAATCTCACTGTTGCCTCACTGTTGCTGGGAAGTTATGTTTTATAAAGTTTTTCTTAACATACTAATATTGTGGGGCCCTTACCGCACCACGGGAAGTGCTGGAGGATCAAGGATAGTTTAGGGATAGAATGTGGTCCCTAGGAATCAACAGTTGTATATCGAAAAAATAGAATTGTTTGGTGTCCCAAAGGTGCTTTTTCCAAAAGACAACTGGACTTTGAAAGGAACTGAAGGAACTTCTGGGAAGAGAAGTGAAATATTTTCAAAGAAAACATCAAGAAAGTCCAGTTGCCTTTTGGAAAAAGCATCTTTGGGACAACCATGACCTGGATGACTGAGAATCTCCATAGACATTTAACACAAGCTTGCACAGTTCTGGTCTTTGTAGGTATAGACACATTATGTCCTTTGAATATAATTCCCAAGGTCTTTATAGCTGCTTTACCAAATGCAAGTGTATAATATATTTCTTGACTATTGATGGTTGATCATTAAAAGCAGAAGCTATTCGTCATTGCAATATCTTCATCATCATTTTTAAGGCTGGTTGTTCTACCTCCTGCTACTTTTTAAATCTCTTTTTAACCCCTCGTAGATTTCACTTACTAGCAATAGCAATAGATTTATATACCGCTTCGCGGTGCCTTACAGTCCTCTCTACAGTAAGTGGCTTACAGAGTCAGCATGTTGCCCCCAACAATCTGGGTCCTCATTTTACCGACCTCAGAAGAATGGAAGGCTGAGTCAACCTTGACCTAGTCAGGATCAAACTCCTGGCAGTGGGCAGAGTCAGCCTACAATACTACATTCTAACCCAGTGGTTCTCAACCTGTGGGTCGGGACCCCATTTGGGGTTGAATGACCATTTCACGGGGGTCGCCAAACAACACAGTCTGCCATTTTTTCCCCTTTTCCTTAGCTGTGCTACTTCCTTTTATTCTATTGGCTTTTGAAAGCCAATAGAATAGACTCTCTTGAATAGAGTCCAATTCTATTGGCTTTCAAAAGCCAATAGGAATTGTCCAGGCTGTCTCTGCCCTGCTGAGCCCGCCAAAAGTCCCCTTCTGCAAACGGTGCTGCACCAGTTGAGTAGTCCTCGACTTACGACCGGTTGAGTAGTCCTCGACGTACGACCGGTTGGGTAGTCCTCGACTTACGACCCCTTGGGGGTCACGGCATTAAAAAGGTTGAGAACCACTGTTCTAACCACTGCACCACCACGGCTCCTTGCACACTTTCTGTGCTCTTCGCATCTATATTTTACTTTATTTCTTACTTTCCTTGGTATTTTATCATTTTAGATTTGACCCTGGCATTGGTTAGTGATCATAATAAATCTGAAGCGATAAGAATCAAAACGGGATGGAAAACTGCAAGGCATACTGACCACGTTGACGGAGCGGAATCCCGCTCCTTGTTTCGGTTCATCCTCTGGATCGCAAAAAGACTGATAGTCATAAGACTTGTTGAAGGCATACAAGGACATATTAATGAGATTTCGCATGAGACCCGGATCAATCTCTCCGAAGAACTTTCCAATCTAATGCAAAACGAAAGGTTTTACCCAAAGGTCAGTCTTCAAGCAGAGGTCAAGTAACTACTGAACGTATTTCCTAAAAGACAGTGCTTAATTAATAAGGTATTGAGCGTCACGTTTAATTCAAGCACGTACCTCTGGAAAATAGTTTTCTTGGTTGGTCATCAAAAGAAACCCTCCATCATCAAGAATGACACAATCGATATGCTAGCAGAAAGAAGAACCATAGAATGTAACTAAGTAATTATTGAGATTTATCTTCTAGATCAGGGGTAGGCCACCTTGGCTCTTTTATGACTCGTGGACTTCAACTCCCAGAATTCCTGAGCCAGCCATGCTGAGGGGAAAGGGAGAGGTTTCCAAGCTGAGCCATGCTGGCTCAGGAATTCTGGGGGTTGAAGTCCACGAGTCATAGAACGGGCCTAAGGCCAGGGCTTGGCAACCTTGGCTCTTTTATGACTCATGGACTTCAACTCCCAGAATTCCTGAGCCAGCATGGCTCAGCTTGGAAACCTCTCCCTTTCCCCTCAGCGTGGCTGGCTCAGGAATTCTGGGAGTTGAAGTCCACGAGTCATAAAAGAGCCAGGGTTGCCTACTCTGGCCTAGGCCTAGGCCGCTTTCTGACTCGTGGACTTCAACTCCCAGAATTCCTGAGCCAGCATGGCTCAGCTCGGAAACCTCTCCCTTTCCCCTCAGCATGGCTGGCTCAGGAGTTCTGGGAGTTGAAGTCCACGAGTCATAAAAGAACCAAGGTTGCCTACCCCTGCCTTACACCATCCCGGTCAGGTGTTTGTCCAGGATATTTTTGAAAACCTTCAACAGATGAAATACCTACAACTCTATTGATTGATTTTTCTCAATGACAGGAAATTTCTCCTTAGTTCTAGGTTTAATGATCTTCCACTGGTTATTTCTTGTCCTGCCCTCAGGTGCTTTGAAAAATACGTCAATTCTTCTCCGTGGCAGTCCCTCAAGTACTGCAAGATGGTGATCGTGTCCCCCTAACCCAGTGGTTTTCAAACGTGGCCCTTTTATGACTCGTGGACTTCAACTCCCAGAATTCCTGAGCCAGCATGGCTCAGCTTGGAAACCTCTGCCTTTTCCCTCAGCATGGCTGGCTCAGGAATTCTGGGAGTTGAAGTCCACCAGTCATAAAAGAGCCAAGGTTGCCTACCCCTGTTCTAGCTGAATACAGGTAGTCCCCAACGTATGACCACAATTGAGCTGAAAAATCTCCGTTGCTAAGTCGGACGCTTGTGAAGTGAGTTTAGCCCCATTTTACCACCTTTCTTGCCACACTCATTAACCGAATCACTGCAGCTCTTAAGTTAGTAACACGTGAATCTGGCTTTTCCCATTGCCTTCGCTTGTCAGAAGGTCACAAAAGCGGATCACGTGACCCCCAGGACATAGCAACCGTCATAAATATGAGTCAGTTGCCAAGCGTCTGAATTTTGGACACGTGATCTTGGGAATACTGTATTGGTTGTGTGAAAAACAGCCATAAGTCAGGTTTTTTTTTCAGTGCTGTTGTTACTTTGAACGGTCACTAAAATGAACCATTGGAAGTCAAGGACTACCTGTATAAACAGAAAAATAATAATGCAAGATCTTATTCACAGGTTAGATAATCTTAAAATACCGCCAGTTATAACCCTTGGAGAATTTTGGGAATAAATTACAATGGGACATCTTGTCAGAAAATATTAATTTCCTGCAAGGAAACATTAACCTACATGAAATTGTGCTATTCTTCTCGCTCAGGATTCAAACCAGCTAAAGGGATGGCATGCTGTCAATTTCAAGTATTTCCTGAGAGTTACTATTATTAGATATAAAGGTTGCCCAATGGACATTTATGCTTCTTTTTATTTTGGGGAACATAAACCTGCCTGCAGATTTTGATTTGCAATGTGTTTGTTCGAACCACAGATCTTAATGCTAGCAAGATTAACATAATGTGAATCATGAACCAAGGTGAATCTACATGTCCCGGGATAATGTTGCAGGATCCAATCTGGGTTAGTCACCTGGACCAGGGATTTTGTCTTCCGAGCTTTTGGACTTGCTGGAGACCATCCTGAGGGAATTTCTCTCTGCTGGAATATGTGCTTTGGGCTATTTTGTGTGTGGTATTTAAATAGTGCCTGTTGTGTATGGCTTTTTAGATGTTGATTGGGGTGTTGATTAACGTATTAATGACTTAATACTCAGCCATCAACACCCAATGATCGACCCAGATTAGACCCTGCAATCAGGTTAATGCTTAACGTTGACATAGCTGCTTTGAGAATCCAAAACGACATCATATAATTGTCCAGTTATCAACTCTTAAAACAGATGAGTTGTTAACAATGAGTTTATTTGGCAAAAGAAGCATCTATTTCTTCTCTTACCTGACTATCCTTTTCGCACCCGCAAATTTCACTTCCACTTTTACACTGAAAAATATAAGCACAAAGTGCATTCACGAAACCATTTCGAAAACAACGAAGACACAATACGCATGGCATTATCCAAGCTGGGAGACATTTTCCCAAGATTAAGCAGATGCTGGATCAAGAAACCCATACATTCTCATTTTTATGCTTTTATAGTGGACAGCACAATCTTCTCTTCAGTTATCCTGAAAAAGCCTTAATCTGCACAATGGACAAAATGGGGACATCTGAAAAAAAAAAATGTCTTCTGCTTGATGTTTGAACAAATGTTGGCAATTGGAAAGATGGCCCCGCCAAGGATTGAGGAACTGCATAGGATTAATTTTGGACTCACTGCAGAAGAGCCTAATGCTGGGAAAGAAGGGCAATAGAAGAAGGGGACGACAGAGAAGGAGGTGGCTGGATGGAGTCCCTGAAGCAGTAGGCGTGAGCTTCAATGGACTCCAGAAGATGGTAGAGGAGGAGGAGGAGGAGGAGGAGGAGGAGGAGGAGGAGGAGGAGGAGGAGGAGGAGGAGGAGGAGGAGGAGGAGGAGGAGGAGGAGGAGATCCTTGGTAATGCTAGTCATGATGATGTTAACTAATTTAGGTAATGAAATATCTGCAAGAACACAACCAAGCTCAGAGAGCACCAAGGATCCCTCATATAATAATTGATGATTTGTTCTTGGCCAAAGCTATTCAGACCCGCTACTTATTAGGCCTCAGATATGTCATGTACGTGTTCTAAATTCCATCTCTGTTCTAATTTTTATATTTTTTATATTTTCTATATAGCTGTTGAAAGTTTTTTTTTAATTGTATTAATTTTCAAGTATCGTAATTTCTCTTTAATATAAGATGTACTCACGATAAATAGTGATAAATAGAAACCTCATTTTTCTGATTTTGGAGGGTACACGGATGTTCATTCTTTTATCTATTTGTTTAATTTAGGTTGAATCCTGCCTTACGTTGGGCGGCTGACCAGTAGTAACACAAGCATGGGTACCAAATGAAACCAAGATGGGATCCAAGCCAAATATACAAATAGAAAACAAAAATAACAAAGACCCAGTGAACAAGAGGCCTCTTCTCTCTCACCCCACGGCCTAGAAGAAGAACCAGATCTTCAAGCTTTGTGGAACATCAACAGAATGGGAGCTATACAGGCTTTGATTCGGTAATTTTAATGTTTTATAGAGCTCCTAAGATTGCACAAAGAACTCTGGAAAAACTGAAGGTGAAGCCTACAAAACTCACCTGATCTTTAGTGGTGAGTGTAGCGAAGCTTGTCATCCAGCTGCTCAGATTGAGTTTTACTCCAACAACTGGCAAGAAATACATGTAGCATGAGAAAATAAAAATATCGACATTGCAAAATTATCTATCTATCTATCTATCTGTCTGTCTGTCTGTCTGTCTGTCTTGTCTGTCTATCTATCTATCATCTATCATCTATCTATTATCTATATTATCTATCTATCTATCTATCTAATCAGTTCTGACATATTCTGTCTATCTATCTATCTATCTATCTATCAGTTCTGACATATTCTATCTATATGTCTATCTATCTATCTGTCTGTCTATCTATCTATCATCTATATTTATCCATTATCTATCTATCTATCTATCTATCTATCTATCTATCTATCTATCTATCTATCTATCTATTCTGACATATTCTATCTATCTACCTACCTACCTACCTACCTGCCTATCTATCATCTATATTTATCCATTATCTATCTATTATCTATCTATCTATCTATCTATCTATCTGTCTGTCTGTCTGTCTGTCTGTCTGTCTGTCTGTCTGTCTATCCATCCATCCATCCATCCATCCATCTATCTATCTATCTATTTTTGTCCATCCATCATCTATCTGTCTGTCTGTCTATTATCTATCTATCTTCTACCTACCTACCTATCTATCTATCTATCTATATATCTATCTATCATCATCTGTCTATCTGGAAATGCCATTTTCTTACACCATCCTTGGAATTCGTGATTTCCAGAATTTAAACCTCATTCCCCCTTAGATGACTCTGAACACTGGTTTTGTCTTATGGGTATTGAATTGCTATATTCCATAACGAGTTTTGTTTCTGTGTGGAAGGAGAATCCCATTCTTTCCTACCTGCTGGTTTTAGAAGTTTTCCGTTCACGGTGATCTTCACAGCCTTGCTTACCATAATCCCATCTTCATTGATGCTTCCTGAGCATTTAAAAAAAAAGAAAGAAAAGAAAACAGAGTTGACTTGCCATTATGATATGTCTCTTTGTCAACGGCACTGATACTTCGGATGATCTTGGTGCATAAGGAATAATAATAATAATAATAATAATAATAATAATAATAATAATAACAACAATAACAACAACAACAACAACGTCTTATTGTTGTACTGTAAAAGACTGTAAAAACAGTGAGAGCCCAGGGACTTACGGTTGAAGAACGGAGCCGTGAAGATATAATTCTCATTATCTAAGCTCCTTTTGTAGAAGCTCTGTTCATAAGTTTCAGAATTCTCTGTCCAATATTCGCCTGCACTAAACATAAGATACAGATATTATTATACAGATATTATTATTTTTTAATTGTGATTCCCTGGGATTTTTTTTATTTAAACACTGGTAAGGCACTTGTAAGCAAGTTACTCAAGGTAGAGAGCCAGGCAGGTGGGCTTGGCAAAGCCTTCCTGAAGCTGCTAAGGCAACAACAGTTGCAGAAAAAAGCATGTTTTAAGCCCAGGGAAGTAAGGAAGGGTTAAAAAGGGACTCAAATAGATTTCCCCTGACTCCTTGGAGAATAAAATGGGGTGAAAGGAAAACACAAGCAGTTGTGCAAGATTCTGTTCCTGTTATCTCAATAAAGCATTATTCTAGTCTTTCTATGAATTCAGTTTCCTGATGCGGTCCGTCCCACAAGGCTGACCCAAAGTTAATGAGCATCCAGAAAAATGCATTATGAGAAAAATAAAAAGTGGTTACACTAAAAGTAAGCCTTAGGGAAATCAAGGCATTATCTTTTCTGAGGTTCATTCAATCAATCAATTTCTATAGCCACCACCTCAGTCAATGACTCTGGACAATTTACAAATCAAAAAATATTGATCGATTGATTGATTTCATTTTTATTCTACCTATCAAATCAAGGCACTAGCTTTTCTGGAGTTTGTTAGTTAGTTCGTTCGTTCATTCATTCATTCATTCATTCATTCATTCATTTTAATATTTTAATCATTCATTCCCACAGTGTCAATGGGACTTTCCAGGAATTCTGGCCTCAAATCAGATCCTTAAGCATGTTAATCATTAGCAAACACTGTTAACATTATTCAAGATTAAACGGCCTTCTTACCTTTTGGGATATACTCTGGTGATCCCTCCATCTGTAACTACAAAGCGTGCCGTAATTCCCTCCCTGGAAAGATAAAGATTTAGATCAACGTCAATTTAGAAGAACAGGCCAGCATTCTTATTTAGAATGTTCCTCTAAAGCAGAACAATAAACGTGCACATCCTTTGTCTAACCATGTTATTTCTTTCGACTGGATGATTCGAATAGTAAGTTCTGATCTGATAGTTGAAGGAAGCATGAACATTCAGAAATAGAGCTATTCAGGGCAGGGAATAGAGGAAGCAAAGAAGGAATACTCACGGGTCTTGCTTACTCCAGTAATTCTGGACCAGTTCACTTGTGAAGCCAGCATCCAACAAAGCTCTCATCACCAAGCCATTACCTGCCATAAAAAAAGAAGAGAAGAGAAGAGAAGAGAAGAGAAGGGAAGGGAAGGGAAGGGAAGGGAGAGCAGAGGAGAGGAGAGAAGAGGAGAGGAGAGGAGAGGAGAGGAGAGAAGGGGGAGGGGAGGGGACGGGGAGGGGAGGGGACGGGGAGAGAAGAGGAGAGGAGAGAAGGGGGAGGGGAGGGGAGGGGAGGGGGGAGGAGGGGAGAGAGAAGAGGAGAGGAGAGAGAGGGAAGGAGGAAGGGAAGGGAAGGGAGAGCAGAGGAGAGGAGGAGGAGAAAGGGGGAGGGAGGGGAGAGGAGAGCAGAGGAGAAGGGAAGGGAGGGGAGAGGAGAGGAGGAAGGGAAGGGAAGGGAGAGGGAAAAGGGGAGAAGAGAGGAGGAAGGGAGAGAAGGGGGAGGGGAGGGGAGGGGAGGGGGGAGAGAAGAGGAGAAGGGAGGAGAAGGGAAGGGAAGGGGAAGGGAGAGCAGAGGAGAGGAGAGAAGAGGAGAGAAGGGGGAGGGGAGGGGAGGGGGGAGAGAAGAGGAGAGGAGAGGAGAAGGGAGGAGAAGGGAAGGGAAGGGAGAGGAGAGCAGAGGAGAGAAGGGGGAGGGGAGGGGAGAGGAGAGCAGAGGAGAAGGGAAGGGAGGGGAGAGGAGAGGAGGGAAGGGAAGGGAGAGGAGAGGAGAGCAGAGGAGAGGAGAGAAGGGGGAGGGGAGGGGAGAGGAGAGCAGAGGAGAAGGGAAGGGAGGGGAGAGGAGAGGAGAGGAGGGAAGGGATCATTTATTAAATTATTAATAGTGGAACAAGATTGGTAAGATCATCAGTCCATCCAACATTCCCACCTGACATAGTTGAGGAACCATCTATCTCCCTTGATATCTGCCCAACTGCTTCAATCTGGTAGGGTTGCCATGCTCAAGTTCCTTCAGTGAAACAGTGGCATCTAACAAGACATTGGAAGCACATGTTCCCTGTTTTGTCCCTCTGGTATGAAGTCCCCTCTCCCAAGATCCAGGTGTTTTTCGACCATACTGGCAGGTCACTCATATTTGGTGAAATTCTGCATTCTCCGATTGGTTTCATGCTACTTTAATTTTGTGTGTTGTTTGATTCCATTATTATGTCTTAGCTAAATCGATGCACTTTCAGTGTTATTGCCAATTTATTGAAAGGCCATACTTACATGAAGGGTTTTCGGGTGAATATTGATCCATAAATTCAATGAAGTTCTGAAGAAATACAGTATTATTGTCTGTTATTTTCACTGTGCTACAGTAGTCCCTAAAAAAAGTAAACAAAAAAGATGAAATTTTGTACCACATTGCTGCATTGGGCAATCTGCTATCATGTCCCCCCTCATTCTTCTCTTCATTAAACTAGACATACCCAATTCCAGCAACCGTTCTTTATATGTTTTAGCCTCCAGTCCCCTAATCATCTTTGTTGCTCTTCTCTGCACTCTTTCTAGAGTCTCCACATCTTTTTTACATCATGGCAACCAAAACTGGATGCAGTGTTTATTCATAATCTATTCTTTAATTCAGTAGAAACATAATCTTGACATGCTCTACTTCAGGGGTGTCAAACTGCCAGCCCGCGGGCCAGACGTGTCACATGGAAGCCGCACCCACCCCATTGCCGGCAATGGCAAAATAGTCCTGATACATCACATGACGTCACAAGTTTGACATGTCTGCTCTACTTTATTAGATAGTTCTATTTTTCCAGAAGAAGTTAGTATGTCAATCAAGAGATATTATGTAATGCTTGGCAACCTGGAGCAGCAAAATGTACTAACCTGGGTGCTAAAAATGTATATCCAAATTCATCAAAGGACTCTTGCTTCAGAGTTGCAATAACTGCAAAGAGGAAAGCAAAACATTAAATGAACTAAATTCACCTTTCAAGAGCACTGGGTGACAGGCGAAAATGTTTAACCACAAAACCATCTGGATGAATTCCACATTTAATTCAAGAGATTATGTAAGGTACTGTGGCCAGACAACCCGGATGAAACACAAACCATATTTGGTGTTCAGATGACCAGATCATCTTTTTTTCCTAATAACTATAACTCAAGATCAGCGTTTTCATATTAGATGTGGAATAGATCCAGTCATAAAATGGCAACTTAGGAAAATAAGCACAATATAAAATTGTTGCAACTTAAAAGTGAGCTAAACGGTCATCAGAGGCATCTACTGAATCCAGAGATTTGGGCAAACAGGAAGAAACGGGTGTGTTGTGATGTCACAAAGCAAGCTCAGCTGCACAAAGGAAGCAGAGTTAGCACGGTGACATCACAACAGCCCTTTCATCATTTGCAATGGAGGAGGGGTGCGGGATGCATTCTCTACCACCATCAAGGATGCTACAACTGAAACTACCCAGAAGAAGAATCTCAAACTCAAACCAAAAGCATTTGAAAAAAATGGCCCTAACTCAAAGAGTTTATTTGAGCATAATTGCATTTCAGGGTTGCTGAAATGCATAAAGGTTCCAGACCAGAAATAAAATGAAGATTGTTTGCAAAACAGCAAGTGAGAGAATTGAACACACGAGGATCAGAGAGTGACAAGACATTGGAACACAAATGGGACAGAGAGAGTGGAGCTGTAGTGTAATTTTCGACATGTTTAGCCTTTTTGCCTCTGTAACAACCAGCTGGCATTGGAAAAAAAACCCTTCTGGGACAATACAAAGGGTGGTAGCCAAGAGGAAAAATGAAATACAAATGGCCAACACCAACAATAATACACAGAGGGAAATTAGCAACAAGAATGTTATATACTTGCCCTTTAGGACTGTGATTATCCATCAGAAAGAGAAAGCAAGAAAACAGAAAAAAAGAGGGTAAAACAAAAGGGGTCACAAGCCAATATTTTATTCAACTAGCCACGTGAATAAAAATATTGTGGCATAGAGAGAGAGAGAGAGAGAGAGAGAGAGAGAGAGAGAGAGAGAGAAAGAGAGAGAGGTCACAGGTTCAGTTTGTGTATAGCTGTATTCTGGAGGAAAAAAACAACAACAGTATTTCTGAAATTTTGGCGCACGTTTCCGGTCAAGTATTTTTTAATGTACAGGTAGTCCTCGACTTAACGATCACAATGGAGTGAGTGAGAAATTTGTTAAGTGAGCTTTGCTCCATTTTACAACTTTTCTCGCCACAGTCAGTAAGTCAATCGCTGCAACCCCTTAACATGGTTGTTAAGTGAATCTGGCTTCCCCATTGACGTTGCTTGCCAGAGGTCGCAAAAGAGGATCACGTGACCCTTGGACACTACAACCGTCATAAGTACCAGTCAGTTGCCAAGCATCTGAATTTTGATCACATGACCACGGGGGACGCTGCAATGGTTGTAAGTGTGAAAAAACAGTCATAAGCAGTGGTGGGATTCAGCCGGTTTGCACCACTTCAGCAGAACCGGTAGCTAATTTTTTGTTGCCCAGGTCCAGAATGGACTTCCGGAAGTGGCATCCATGCAGAGAACCGGTTGTTCACCTATTTGAATCCCACCACTGGTCATAAGTGCCGTTGTAACTTCAAACAGTCACTAAACAAACTCTTGTAAGTCAAGGACTAGTTGTGCTACTATATACTGTGGCTATTTCTACAGAGCGCATAATGGGCGAGATGATTCCCAAAATGTTTAAAATGCTGAGGGAAAAAAATGGTGCACATACATAAAAAGGAGTAGGTGGTGCACATACATAAAAAGTCGCCATTTTGACTTTTATCAAGTCCAGCCTGTGGATGTGCTGATATTTTGGGACTTTGACTTAGCTCTTTGAACATGGTTCACCTGGACCAGGGGTAGGCAATCTTGACACTTTTATGACTCGTGGACTTCAACTCCCAGAATTCCTGAGCCACCATGGCTCAGCATGGAAACCTCTCCATTTTCCCTCAGCATGGCTGGCTCAGGAATTCTGGGAGTTGAAGTCCACCGAATCATAAAAGAGCCAAGGTTGCCTACCCCTGACCTGGACGATAGCAAAGTTTCCAGATGTTCCAAATTCTACTGCCGAAAAACCTCAAAGCAGTAAGTCACTGTGAGCAAAGAAATTAGAATTTCGAAACTGCTAGTGTCCCACAATTAGAATAGAATATCTTTATTGTCACTGTGTAACTCACAACAAAATTAAGTATTAATTACCCAATTAATTAAATTAATTAAAACCCAGCTCAGTGCTTTAAGCCTACAGATCTCTGTAGACCTGCCTCGCCATTTTATCCTCTATGGCAGGGGTGCATTTCTTCATTCCTCACAAAGGATGACACCTTCCCAGCGCACACCCAGGGGACGGGGCCGACACAGCAGGGGACGGTCCCTGGCTGTTTCCAGACGGCCTTGTAGAGCTAAGACTTAATGTGTTTCAGCCTAGATGGCCACCACAAAATTGTACATTGGCTCCCGGCCGGCCTGGGCCAGGGCCAAGGCAGCGGGGGCCGTTCCTCACTGTTTCCAGGATGGCTTCGTGGGCCACATGAAACCACTTCGTGGGCCATACCTGACCCCCGGGCCTTCTGTTTGACATGTCTGCTCTATGGGAATCACCTTTAATGTGATCAATTAATTAGTTCTCGGTCATGTAAAAAAAAGACAGATAATAGAAATTAGGCAGCAGCTGACAAATTTCCAACCCAGCGTTGATAATGAATGATGCAAATGTCAAAAGAGACTCGGGAGAATTAAATAAAAGCTAGGGAAAGGATTAAACCTGGGCCAGGTTTGAAGATGGCCTCTGAAGTAGAGTAACTAACATTTGCTTGCTAAGCAAGGATGCTGGGCATATTGTATATTGCAGATTTTCACAGACATCTGCTCTTCTTTGCTGCATAATCCAGAGAGTGCTTCTTTTCTAAGCTAAAATCTGCTTCAAGAGCTGAGTGCCAAAAGTAAGAATTCTTTCTATATTATATTTATCTTGCCTGTCATCAAAATAAGGTCTTTTAGTTAAAAGGCTAGAAAGACTTCCATAAAGTGAGATGATAGTTTAGGTCAGTGGTGGCGAACCTATGACACGCGTGCCAGAGGCAGCACACGGAGCCCTCTCTGTGGGCACACGCCATCACCCCAGCACACGTGGTCTCTAAAAGTTTGCCATCACTGGCCTAAGGCCAGCCAGTCTGGAGCTGCCATTGGGGAGCCCACCATCCCACCCGCCAGAGACCCCTTGGATATCCCCCAACCCTGCCCGGCTCCCACAAGTATCCCTCCCCGTAAGCAACATCGAGGTGGCCACGCCTACCCCGGCCATGCCCACCCAATCTACCATGACTACTGCAGCCACACCCATCCAGTGGCCATGCCCACCCAGTCTGCCAAGCCCACTGTAGCTGCGTCCACCGAGTGGCCTCACCCACCCGCCACCCGGTGATACATAAATGGGTTTTGGGTTGTAGTTTGGGCACTCAGTCTCTAAAAGGTTCGCCATCATTGGTTTAGGTATTCGGACTGAGAATCTCCATAGTCATCTAACATGAAGTGAGTATTTCACAGGCTGCAGCTATTAGGGGCACCATACAAAGCTAGACTTCATAACTCAACGGTGAGCTATTATCAAACTCTGCAAAAGACAACAGAGGATATGCAAAGCAATGATTCTGTGGGTACATAAGCCGAGAGATGGGACAAGATCAAGATTTACTAAAGCTAGTACGGCAACAGAACAGATTCTCCTTGGGTAGAATACTTTTTTGTATCTTGCACATTTACACAAGGACTTGGAATCATTGCTGTAGAGCTGGGGGTACGTCATGAGAACATTAGTGAGTTTCACAAGCTTTCAAAATGTTGTGTTAAAAAAAGGTAGAATCACTCTCACATGGGCTGTAACAGTCACAACAGGGGAAAGTTCTCAGTTACTTACATTTTGCCTGAGTTAAGGTTTCATTAATCTTGGCTTTAATATAGTAAAAGCTGTAGGATGGTAACACCAGAGCCAAACTGTGGAAGAAACCAAATAATTACAATCAAGGGATAATCCAATATTCATTTGAGATTTAACAGCATTTTCTCCAGCTGACGAGGTAAACTTGAAAACTACGGACAAAATGATAGACTACTGAATGCTTTTATTTGGTCAATTCCTTCCCAGACTCTATCACTTTCACTTCTTCCTTATTTAACATTGTTTTCATTCAGTCAATTCCTTCCCAGACTCTGTTTATCACTTTCACTTCTTCCTTATCTAATGCTGCTTTTACTCTGTCCATTCTTTCACAGAGTCTGTTGATTGCTTTCACGATGCTATCTGAGGTAGCTGAGTGTTTTTTGATGGGACAAATTACACCTTTCCAGATACATCAAGAACGATATTATTATTTTTTTTGCACCTATTTGAGAGAAATATTGTTACCTAAATAGGTGGGTTTGATTTCATATCGCAGGCGTGCAGGGATAATTGTTTGCACAATTCAAGGAAGGCCTTCATGAGCCAATGAGAAATTGGAGAATTACTGCTTCATTGCTCAGCGCGTGAAATACAATTGGCAGATACAAAATTCAGGAAATTAGGAAACGTGTAATGTTCCTGAAGTCGAAAATAGGCTGTAGGCCAGCTTGGAAAATAACTATTCACTTTATATCTACCTAGCTTAACCCTGAGAACCTCTGCAGAGGGGAATAATCCAAGGTATCTTCTTGTGACTTGAGCATTAACGTGATCCCTCTATCAAACCACCTGGTTTTAATCTGCCATACCCTGTCTGGACAAAACTGAGCGGAATTAGGTATAATACTGGAAGAAGTGCCTCTGCCCTATGTCAGTGGGGATGGAAAGATACCCCTTGTTGTGATTGTGGTGCTGATATGGAAACAATTAAACGTATTGTGCAAGATTGCCCACGATGTGCTTTGTCTGGCTCCTTAGAAGATCTGCACGAAGCAACACCAGAAGTGATTGCTGGATTCAGTTATGAGACACACACACACACACACACACACACACACACACACACACACACACACCATAAAAGTTTTACTTATAATTATGTAGACTGAGTATTTATATTTACTTTTCTTCTGTCGTGTTCTCATCGTACGCTGAATAAATAATAATAATTCCTGAACGGAAAAAATTGCAAGGACTTTTCAGCTGGGTGGCATGGCTCCAAGGCCTAATTAAAACGTAACTAATTTGTATATCTAAACAAGGCATTGAAAGATCGAAAACAGCCGTAGAGATTATAGCTTATTTCCAAAGTCATGTTTAAGTCATGAATATTTTATGTTCTCTGGGGCTTCGCCGCCATTTTATTACTATGGGGTGCTTATTGTTTAATATTTCCTACGATAGCTGCTGAAATTAGCATTAAGAAGAAACAGACTCTTCAACTCTAAATCTTGCCTTTACCATTACGGTTGGCCCTCTGTCTGCTTGGAGAAGAATTACTAATTAACTTGTGACATCTTTTCACTAATATTTGTCAAGGGAAATCAGGGTGAGTTTGCTTCCCATTCCCAGTCCCTGCTCCCCCCCCCAAAAAAAATGCAACTAATTGAAATCTATAATTGTGTGTATAAATACGCCTGTTGCCTTGAGGCTCCCAGGAGAGTTTTCTGCTATTATTTTCAAAATTCAAAAGATTTTTCAGAAATATTGGGCAGAAATATTATATATGCTAAGCAGGGTTCAGAAAGCAAGAGTAATAAGTCAGAAGAGAAATTGCTGTTTACAATTCAGAGGGAAGAAACGGGGGAAAAAATGGTTGCTAATGAGCAAGCGTCAGCATTAACTTTGGAGAGATATTGCTACTCAATAAGTTTGCTCTTTCAATTGCTGTAGGACAATCCATCACTGGAAGTGTTCGTGGGAAAGGATCTCTATTTAAATACGTTTAGACGTAGCAACTACCCTCTTTGGTTGCAAGAATAATGGAATTTGCAAAATTGTATATGCCCTGGATAGTTTTCTGGCTATAGGAATGTTTGTTTATTTATTTATGAAATTTATTCACTGCCCGTCTCATAATCAACAACACTGGGCGACTTACGTTGCCAGGGCCAGAAAGATTTGTACAATTGGGATTGCAGGAACCATCAACTCTAACTTTCTGCAGTTTGCAGAAGCCAAGTCAACGTCTTATGATGCACGGACAGGTTTTCGTGTACAACACGTGATTTATTCCTAATTTGGTACCAAAAGCATGGAAAAAAATAATTGGGGGAAACAAGTGAACATCTGGAATTTCAACTCCAGGGCAGAAAATGCCTTCTGCGTTGCAATTTTCTGCTTAACCTCCCAAGGTTGATACATCTCAAAAAACAACAACAATGCTGTCTCTTTTTTGTAATCTAGATCAAATCTGGATGCACTATTCCACGTGTGGTCTTACTAAGGTTTTATAAAGTGGTACTAATGCTTCACATGATTTTGATTCTATGCCTCTGTTAGCCTTTTCTTGACTGTTCAAAGAAAGGTCATAATTCAATCCAATTCAGAATAGAGCTGGAAGGGACTTTGGAGGTCTTCTAGTCCAACCCTTTGCTTAAGGGGGAGACCCTATACAAGTTGAGACAAGTGGTTGTCCAGTCTCTTTTTGAAAGCCTCCAGTAATGAAGCACCCACTTCTGAAGGCAAGCAAACAACTGGTTAGTTGTTCTCACTATTAGGAAGTTTCTCCTTAATTCCAGGTTGCTTCTCTCCTTGACTGGTTTCCATCCATTGTTTTTTGTCTTCAGGTTCTTTGGAAAATAGGTTGACCCCCTCCTCTTTGTGGCAGCTCCTCAAATACTGGAACGCTGCTATCACGTCATCCCTGAGTCCTTCCTTTCTCTAGACTTTGTTGTTGTTGTTAATTGCAAAGTCGTGTCTGACCCATCGCGACCCCATGGACAATGTTCCTCCAGGTCTTCCTGTCCTCTACCATCTTCTGTCCTCTACCATCTTCTTCTCTAGACTAGACGTACCCAATTCCTGCAACCGTTCTTCATATGTTTTAGTCTCCAGGCCCTTAATCATCTTAGTTGCTCTTCTCTGCACTCTTTCCAAAGTCTCAACATCTTTTTTGTAACGTGGCGACCAAAACTGGACGCGGTATTCCGGGTGTGGTCTTACTAAAAATTTATAAAGCAATACTAATACTTCACGTGGTTTTGATGCTGTTTGTACAACCAAGAATTAATGAATAGATTAATGAATAGATTAATTGGTTATTAGATTAATTAATAGAAATTAATTAATAGATGTTTGCAGGAATAGTGACAAAAAAAATCAGAAAAGGCTGCACAGAGATGCCTGGAATAGCCTCCTTGGTACCCCTGGAATCAAGGTCAGAGACCTAATCAAGGTCAGGGATCTAATCAAGATCAGGGATCTTATCTCTAAGGTCAGGTAAAATTCTCCTGCATTTCTAGCTTTTGAAGAGGCTAGTGGGGGAGGGGAAATGAGGGCTAAAGAGGAAAATAGGGAAGAATTATCCAGAATCCTTAGGGAAGGGTTAAATATTCACAAAACCAGCACCAGGCAGCCTAAATCATTTTCCATATAAACTTTTCCAAAGAAAAACTGGTTACAGAGGAAAATGAAGGAAAAGATTCTACCTTGATTTTTATCCTGGTTTTTTTTTTTTAAGTTTGCAGGACTGGGATATCAGAGCAAGCTCGCCATCCAATAGGTATCTTAGGATACCATTTATCTTGAAATGTCCGGAACAACGGCATTTTAACCTCTTTTTTGTTGTTGTTGTTGTTTTGAAAAAAAAAAAAAAATAAGGGATCTCGGAGTCCTAGTGGACAATCCCATAAATAGGAGCCAGCCGTGTGCTGCAGCTGCCCAAAAAGCCAACACAGTGCTAGGCTGCATTAACAGAGGGATAGAATCAAGATCACATGAAGCGTTAATACCACTTTACAAGGCCTTGGTAAGGCCACACTTGGAATACTGCATCCAGTTTTGGTCACCACGATGTAAAAAAGATGTTGAGACTCTAGAAAGAGTGCAGAGAAGAGCAACAAAGATGATCAGGGAACTGGAGGCTAAAACATATAAGGAAAGGCTGCTGGAATTGGGTCTGTCTAGTTTAATGAAGAGAAGGACAAGGGGGGACATGATAGCAGTATTCCAATATCTCAGGGGCTGCCACAAAGAAGAGGCAGTCAAGCTATTCTCCAAAGTGCCTGAAGGCAGGACAAGAAGCAACGGATGGAAACTAATCAAGGAGAGAAGCAACCTAGAACTAAGGAGAAACTTCCTGACAGTTAGAACAATTAACCAGTGGAACAGCCTGCCTCCAGAAGCGGTGAATGCTCCAACACTGGAAGTTTTTAAGAAGAGACTGGACAGCCATTTGTCCAAAATGGTGTAGGGTTTCCTGCCTGAGCAGGGGGTTGGACTTGATGACCTCGAAGGTCCCTTCCATCATCATCATCATCATCATCATCATCATCATCATCATCATTATATATCCATAATTGATTACCTGTAATCAGTACCATTCACCTTGGTCCACGTGTACGTTCTGTTGCCTTTATCAATATAGCGCTGCAAAAAAATCGGCCAGAAAAATCATTTCATCAAAAGAATCTCAGGAAAGCTTAAACACGCCACATGATTCAAACTCAAACTTTGCTAAAAAAAAGTAAACCAGGGATCGTTATATGTCAGTCCACGAGGGCAAAGCCCATAATTCTTTCAGAAGCTAATTTGCAGATGTCTATTTTGGAAAGTGGCTTAATAAACTTAGAAAAATCTGAATCGACTGTTCAGATTGTTCAACTTGATGCTGCTTTGTGCATAATTGTTCATCTAGGGAGCTTTGGGGGGAAAAAATCAGTTCATTTTTTTTACAAGATGGACATCTTCTTCAGCCAAGATGGATTCCAATCAATAATAATTCAAATAAAAGATGTTTAAGTCTATTAATGTCATGAAGACGTTTCCTTCAACAATTTCATCCCCCCCCCCCCAGAGAAGGAAATATTAAAAGGACAGAAAAATATATTTCCTCAAAGAATCTTAAAGAGGCAGAAAAGCATGCCCAGTTTTTCTTAATAGCCCCAAGTCTCCCACCCCCAAGCAGAAACCAGCTCTGTAGAAATGCAGATGTAAATAATCCATTCAGGAAGGTTGGAGGCCTCCAGCTAGAAGCTTAGGAAGACAAAGACACCTAAAATCTACATATCCCACCCAAACTCCAAGACAGGACATAATAGGATTAACCCCCAGATGCCAAAGGGGCACACCCAGACTCAGGTCAGAATTCATGACACAGGAAATACAAAGCTTCAAACAAGAACAGGAAACAACTCCAAACAAAAGCTCAAAAGGGTACAAAACCCACTCCCTACTACATGTGCTCACTCTCTTTTCTTCCAGAGCCATCTTTCTGTCTGGCTCTCCTCTTCAATAAACTACAACCTTCTTTCTAAAGCAGTCACCATGTTGTTTATTCCCGGCTTGAATTGAACCCTGATGAAGACTTTTCCTTCAACAAATGTGACTGAAGATGATGAGATCTATGTTACTGAAAACAGATGCAGGAGTTGACCAGGCTGAGCCTGAGGGAGAGGTCAAACACGTCATAAGTCACGAGTCCCTTCATGCCTGCAAGAGATCTAACTCCAGCCCACCTTGAATGCTTTTCTTATCTCCCGCTCATTTCCCTTGACTGTTAGTTGGCCAGATTCTGGTAGAAAGATTAAGCTCACAATAAATCTTCATACTCGTTTGAACTGCCTGAATCTCCTAATGTTTGACAGCATCTGGAATACAGCTCACCAACCCCAAAATTAGTTTGCTCTTTCTGTAACATCTTCCTATTTTCATGACCGAATTAGCCGCAACCACAGGTGACAGGGGCAGGCAATCAAGTCCAGGCGGGATGGAGCTTCCATTGCGATGCTGCATTTATCATTCTAAATAAATTAACACAACGCTAAGGATGCTGCTGTTTTTTAATCCTGTGAAATGTTTTGGTCTGAAATATTGTATTGCTTTCGTCAATTTCTGGTCAATAATATTTCTGGCCTTTGGCAGCCAATAATTCTGGATGCAATTTTTAAAGATAAAGGGGGGACGGGTAATTGACCTGGGGTTGTTCATTCCTCTTTTAGGATCATTACGACTCGCAATCTTTGAAGGATGAACGCAAACTTGGTCTCGGCGTTGCAAAAATTAATCTGAACATTTCAGCTCATTTAATTACAGAATGGAATGAATGGAGCGGTGACACAAAGGGGAATTTTAGACAGTCTCCTGACGCCCGGTGGAGATTTAATCAGAGTTAATACATCCCGAAAGAATGGAGTTACTCAGTTTTCATCATTTATCGCTGTAACTCCTGGGCCCTGGTAGCTTATTATAACATTAAACAGAAACAATGACTCTTAGAAAAGCTAAAAATTGTTCAGCTGCTGCATTGTGGGCTTTCTAATAATATTCAGAAAATTGCAACAGATCTCCATAAGCAGTTTGAACATTAACAGGATTCTAATTTTTTTTTTTGTCCCCAAAGCAGTTTTTGCTGTTCACTTAGGTGTGAACATCCTGAGAAAAGTTTGCAATAAAAATTATTTGATTTGACTTGATATATACTTACAGTATTGGCCAAAATTGTGGAAAATTTTTGGGAAAAGTGTATTTTTGAGATTTGATGGCTAATAACATCACTTTTGGGGGGGGGAGTAGTACCATAGAATTATATATCAATGGAAAGATAATTTAACCAAGAGTGTAATGCAACAAATTTGTTCAGTTATCTGTATTCTATGAAAGGTTATAGCCAAATAACCAGAAAAAGGAAGCACAACTTGCTTAGGTTGATCTCAGGTAGCTTTCCTTCATCTGATTGTAGCCAATGAGCGCGGGTGTTTAGAGAGCCAATCAGGTGTCATCTTCTTTTGGCAATGAGCCAATCAGATCACAGTAGGATTCAGTGATTGATATCACATATTGAAGCCGAGAGGAGGAGATTTGCCAATGCGTTATGTGGTAGCTATCAAGTTAGTTGTGCTTTTTTGTGTTCATTCATTTAGTGAGCTTGTAAAACGTAATAAAATTAAAGTCATGGTGCAAAGAGTTGGCTGGTCGCCCAGAAAGCGATGTAAAATAGTATTATTAAGTGAACAAGGCTACAGTTATAAAAAAATTAGAAGAAAAATGGGTGGAAACTTAACCAAAGGTGGCATTTCTACGGTACATTTCTACGGTAAGGTTTCCACCATTTTGGCCACTACTGTATATGCTGTAACTGGGATGGGAAGGAACCATTTAATAATAATTTATTCTTGCAGCTACAAAAATGCCTTTCCCAAATGCCCTTGTGAAGACTTGCCCAAGAGATGGGAACTAGTAAAAGGTACATGTGTAGGTAGTCCTCAATTTACAACCACAGTTGAGTCCCAAATTTCTGTCACTAAGTGAGACAGTTGTTAAGTGAGTTTTCCCCATTTTATGACCTTTCTTGCCACAGTTGTTAAGTGAATCACTGCAGCTGATAAGTTAGAAACCCGGTTGTTAAATGAATCTAACTTCCCCACTGATTTTGCTTGTCAGACGGTCACAAAGGGGGATCACGTGACCCTGGGACACTGCAACCGTCATAAATATGAGTCACTTGTCGAGCATGTGAATTCTGATCATATAACCCAGGGGATGTTGTAACGGTCATAAGTGTGAAAAAAAGGTCCTAAGTCCCTTTTTTTCAGTGCCGTGGTAATCTTGAACGGTCACTAAATGGACTGTCGTAAGTCGAGGACTACCTGTATTTGGGAATAGCTAAAGGATAGACTTGGAAGGAAGAGGGGTCTTGTGTATTTTTGTTCCACGCCATGATCCATTTTCTAGTTTTCTAGCTCCGGCCTTCTGACTGTTACAGTCTTAACATTCGGCCATTTTGTCTTCCATCCGTTTAGCCAACTCGTTTCTTTTTTTTATCAGAAAGCAAATCTTTGCATTCTCACCTCATCTTGAGATTTGACTAGCGTTTGAAAGGTCCGGTCGCCACTCTCACTGTCAATCATCTTTTTCCGAATCTATAAATTAAGAAAATTACAACCCCAAATGAAGTCACTTCATATTTCTTTATAATGCAGTATTGCAGGCTGACTCACTGCTCACTGCCAACAGTTTGACCCTGACTGGCTCAAAGTTGACTCAGCCTTCCATCCTTCCGAGGTCGGTGAAATGTGGACCCGTATTGTTGGGGGGGGTCAACGTGCTGATTCTGTAAACCGCTTAGAGGGGGCTGTAAAGCACTGTGAAGCAGTATATAAGTCTAAGTACTATTGCTACCTCAATCTTGGTGTGCAGTGGTTAGAATGCAGTATTGCAGGCTAACTCTGCTAAGTGCCGGCAGTTCGATCCTGACGGGGCTCAAGGTTGACTCAGCCTTCCATCCTTCTGAGGTCGGTAAAATGAGGACCAAGATTGTTGGGGGGGCAACATGCTGACTCTGTAAACTGCTTAGAGAGTGCTATGAAGTGGTATATAAGTCTAAGTGCTATTGCTAGTGCTATTCTAAGCCTTGTTCCTTCTGACCATTTTCTAAATGTTAAAACAAAGAAACGTTTTTCATGATCTTTAATCAAATGCAATAATTAAAGAACAGTTGAATATTGTCATTGGTCTGTTTTAGGACAACAAGAAATTATTACATGTTTCTAGTCATCGCTCAGTGCACGATAGATGGGAAAATCTCCCGTGGATTAAGTCCACCATATCTGTTACCTCTAGTTGCCTTTTTTCCTTCTTACAAAGTGAAGTAAAACATCTCTCAGTAGTTTCCTTGAGGTGAATTGGGAATTTATTTTATATATTTCATCTATTTCTGATTCTATTTTCTCTTCTTCCCAACCAATTAATTGAGCCATGGATTTGATCAATATCTGATGTCTTTTGCAGACATTTGCAAATGACATTTTGCAAACAACCAGAAGTTGTAAATGCTCCCACACTGGAAGTTTTTAAGAAGAGATTGGACAACCATTTGTCTGAAATGGTATAAGGTTTCCTGCCTGAGCAGGGGGTTGGACTAGAAGACCTCCAAGGTCCCTTCCAACTATTCTATTCTATTCTATTCTATTCTATTCTATTCTATTCTATTCTATTCTATTCTATTCTATTCCTATTTGAAATCTTAGTTGAAGTTCTGTTCCTTCATCTTTTACCTTTGTATCTAAATTCTGGAGTATACTCTTCCCGGAGATCGAAGATTGCATCATTGAAAATATATATATATATATATATATATATATATATATATATATATATATATATATATATATATATATATATGTTTTTATGACTCCCCCTCCCCTTGTTTGTGCCTGTATTGGCTAAAAAAAACCCAACCATTTATAATATGGTGATATGTTAATATAGCCAAACAGATAAAACTCCAGGAGGCAAAACAATTAAAATCCAACTCTTTGTCTGAGTTATAGTAAGAAATGACTGTCTCTGAGATCATGCAAGCTGACTGGATAACCATTTTATTAGTATTGCCTATCAGAGATGTCCAGGAGAAGGAATGTCAAACACTTCAAGATGGCAGAGAATCAAACTCCAGCCCTTAGTTCATGTGTTATTGGCCCTTGTCCCTAAAAGGACAAAAGTTTGATCACGGTGTCATGACCTCCATCTTAATTTTTGAAACTTCTCCTTCCCGTAAATTTGCTGTTGAAATCGGGAGGACAATTAGGACATTTGCCTAGTTCCTTCATGATAAAATAGTCCTACAGATTTCTTCTGAAGGATGCTGCCTTAAGGATACTGGTCAGCCAGAGGCACAAAAGAAAAATCAGATGCTATAAAAATAATTTAGCCCCAAATGCCTAAGATGGCTGCCTACCTCTGCGTTTGCTTCAGAACTGACTTGTATTGCCATCATGAAAAATCCCAAATGGTCAATCCAACGTACCTCGACTTTGATGTCATTCTCCAACTCAGCATCCAGAAAATCCAGAGTCACGGGCTCCTGAGATTTGGGATTCTGAAGAAGATTTCAAAGCAGCATATAATAAGCATATTCTGCTGCTAATCTAAAACTAACTTATTAAACTAAATTCACTTACCTTTCCATATAACCATTACAATTACATATATAGACACTAGGAAATAGGCTTCGTTAAAAAGCATCATTAATTTATTTGAAAAGAGAGAGAGAACTGGGGAAACAGGAATTAATTTGCTTGGTTTCATGATGAGGAAGTATTGGGAGATTCCTTCCTTGCTCTAAATATAATTCACATTTTACATCCAGAAAATGCAAGTAAAGAAACAAACACAACTTTGTAGTGATAATTCTGTAAGTATTAGGGGGGAAATGATAATATTTCTGAATAGGAACATTGGAAGTCAAAGACCTCATTATATACAAAGTTGGAAATAGACTCGATTTTGAAATAAAAGGGGCAGGATGGACAAAAAGGAAGAATTAAAAAAAAAGAACAGAAATGTATTTCTACAGTTAAAGAAAAGGAAATAAAGACCTAACTTTGTAGATTAAAAATTGAGTCAATTCTTAATGTCTACATTAAAAAGATTCATCTTCATGTGGCTTCACTACGACCACCAAAATGCTAAAGAAAATTAGCTACTTATATTCATTTGGAACCAAATATATAATCTACTTTATTAGATTGATAATGTCTTCACCGTTTTTTACAGAGAGCATTTAAGGTATTATATATGCTATATCATATCTCAGATATGAGAATATTCAAATCGAATGAAATAGATCAATTTTAATCAACAGAAATTACTTGTACATCCTCCTGTGACATTACAATTGCTAAAATTGTGTTCATCCAAACAAACGACTGTGAAATCTGACAGTGAAATGAATCAACTTAGAATAGATCAACAGGACTAAAAAAAATAAAAAGCAATGGCATGTTTTTTAAAAGTCAGCATGTAACATTTGCAAGTCATAACCTTTTGTGTCAAGCATGCTGCGAACTCGAACAAAATTTAAATAACGCCGACATGCATGCAGATAGAAGAAACAAGCCATGTGTGATGCACCCGAGACAAGATTGTTAGAGAGAAAAAAACCAATTATAAGCAAGGCGCAAATATGGATTTCAAGAGCTAATCATGCTCAGAAAAGTAATTCTGTTGAAATTAACAGCATTTAAATTAGTCTACTAAATTAGGCCTCCCTGATTTCACTTGGCTGCATGAGTGTTTGCAGGCACAGTCAAAAAAAAAAAAAAAAAAGCCAAAAGGGTGGTATTGAAATTCTTGAAATATCTACATTAGAATTCTATCAATAGTCAGTTCCAAATGTAAACCTTCATCAAGTATTATAACAAGGCAGTAATTAATCTGTTGTCTTTTGTGGCTTCTCCAAAAAGAATAAAGCATTAATTCAAGTTAATAGACAGATGCTCTCACTTGAAGGAACGTATCCTACAAGCATCTACACCAGGGGTAGTCAACCTTGGCTCTTTTGTGACTCGTGGACTTCAACTCCCAGAATTCCTGAGCCAGTTGGCTCAGGAATTCTGGGAGTTGTAGTCCACGAATCATAAAAGTGCCAAGGTTGACTACCCCTGATCTACACCCTTAATTTTGCGAGCTTCATGCATTAGAGAAGCTGCTGGTTAAACAGCCTATTTAGAGCTCTCCCAGTGAGCTAAACAGAACTTTGGCTTCAACCACATTGTTAGTCACCTCCATTCATAGTTACCTGGACATAGGGTCTGCTTTGTTTAACTTTGGGGATGCCCACACCAATGTGCTAAAGCAACAGAACAACAATGGTTCATTCAACACTTTCACACCATTATGGCAATCAGTTTCTATTAATTCTAAGCATCCTGATTCTTCTAATCCAGGGGTCTTCAAACTTGGCCCTTTTATGACTTGTGGACTTCAACTAACAGGATGGAGACTTACTGTATAAGTGTAATTGTGTGTTTCCTCTCTTTGTGTGCAACCTGCCTCTTCAATCCAGCAACTCAATACTGATAAATCCTGTTGAGTGGCTACTCAACAGAAAAAGAGAAGCTGGGATCAAATTACTTCCCTACTATATTAGCAACTAGCTGGTTACCAAATAATTCTTTCCTTCAGTTTCATAGTAATCTGTAAATATGTATGTGTGGGTTCTAACTTGGCACATATGTATTGTTTCATTCCCTGTGGGCATTTTCACGGCGTTCTTTGCTCTATGCACAAGTGAAGGTGCAGTGGAAATCAACACAACCACAGGGGTGTTGCGTTTCACCCACTCCATTCTGTTTGTGAAACCCTGCACCACTTCAAACCCCTGTTTGGAAATTCTCCCTGGTCTTCAACAAGAGCTTATTTTAAAATAATTTCCTGTTTTAAAAAGATCTGTGCTAATTTTGGACAGGAGTCTCCCGCCTTGCATGACGAGATCAAATTTAAGACATCCAATTTAAAAACAAAACAAAACATCAAAGCAGAAGGATATCTATTTTACAATGTAGCGTACTATACGAGTGTAAGTAATTGTAGCCATAGTTCAATAGTAGGTGGCTGTATTTTCATAGTCTAACCCACAAACCAGATCATTCAGTTTAATAAAGGTTTCCCCCCCCCCCAGAACTTTTAGGGTTAGGGTTTTATTCTAATAATAGTTGCAGGAGAAAAAGGACCGCAGGACTACCCCACGGACTTGGATGTAAGTACCATTAAGCTGAGTGATATTTTTTTTTTTAAAAAAAAAAAAAGATAAATAGAGCTTGATGTAAATTGCTGGCAAGTCAAACAAACCAGTGGCAGAACTCTGTTTTAGTATGAATTTGTTGGCAGGAAAAAAAAATAGGTCATGTTTCAAAAGGCTTGTCAGAGTTTCAGAAACAGTGATGATTTGTTGTTTGGGGAATCAAAGCTACACACTGGCTATAAATAAAAAGCTCCGTTGTATTGTACATGTTTTGAGTTTAAAAAGCATTCAAGATTTTAAAAAAAACATTTGGAAGAAACCGAGTTGAAGAGCTCATAACTGTAAATAGTTAATTTTAAAAAAAAACTAGTGATAACTAAATAAGACTTCCAGTACATTAATACGTTCAGAGTTATCATGTCAGAGGATGTATGAGTTACTGAGTAATATTTAAAGGATAGATTAAATAAGATCTAAAATATAATGAACAACCTTCTCGCTAGCCTATGTTGACTTTGGATAATGGTTTTTATTTATCTGGGTGGCCTGCATCCTACTACTGAATAATATTCACCTGCTTGCTGATCTCCCACCTAACCACACAAAGACAGATTAAATAGTGACAGGTAAAGGTCTAAGTGACATTCAATAGTGTCTAATTCCAACACAGATTTTTCATAAAATCTAACATCTTCCCAACATATTTCCTCATGGTGTTGCTTCAAACAGATCCATTGAGTCTAATCAACTGGGTTCAAAATGGCTTGGACAGGACTATGATTGTTGGCTTTCACAGCATATGAATAACAAAATAATAGAGTTGGAAGAGATCTTGGAGGTCTTCTAGTCCAACTGTTTGAAAGCAGAGAGTCTCCTTGTAGATCAGGGGTTCCCAACGAGGGGTGCTTGCACCCCCTGGGGGTGCAAGATGATACTCTAGGGCAGGGGTAGCAACCTTGGCTCTTTTATGACTCATGGACTTCAACTCCCAGAATTCCTGAGCCAGCATGGCTCAGCTTGGAAACCTCTCCCTTTTCCCTCAGCGTGGCTGGCTCAGGAATTCTGGGAGTTGAAGTCCACGAGTCATGAAAGAACCAAGGTTCCCCACCCCTGCCCTATATCAGGGGTCCTCAGCCTTGGCAATTTTAAGACTTGTGGACTTCAACTCCCAGAATTCCTGAGCCAGCATGGCTCAGCTTGGAAACCTCTCCCTTTTCCCTCAGCGTGGCTGGCTCAGGAATTCTGGGAGTTGAAGTCCACGAGTCACAAAAGAGCCAAGGTTGCCTACTCCTGCTCTAGGGTGTGCGAAAACTTGGGCTTTCAAAATTATAGTGTATATGCATAATTCGTTGTCCTTATTTTGAACTTTTGTAAGGGGTGCGAGAATATATCAGAAGCGTTCTAGGGGTGCAGGGTGTAGAAAAGGTTGGGAGCCACTGTTGTAGATGAACCGAAAGAGGGAATAGAGTGGACAGCAATTGGCTTTCTACCATCTAGTTCTGGACTTAGGGAAGTCACCCAGAAGAGTTATGTGGAAAGATAACAGGAGCTATCAACCTGCTTTTATTATAATAATAATAATAGTAAAGTTGGAAGGGACCTTGGAGGTCATCTAGTCCAACCCCCTGCTCAGGCAGGAAACCCTATACTATTTTGGGCAAATGGCTGTCCAGTCTCTTCTTAAAAACCTTCAGTGTTGGAGCATTCACCACTTCTGGAGGCAGATTGTTCCACTGGTTAATTGTTCTAACTGTCAGGAAGTTTCTCCTTAGTTATAGGTTGCTTCTCTCCCTGTTTAGTTTCCAACTTAGTTTCTTTCCAACTCTTCAGGGATGTTTCCACAACTCACCTGAACAGCAATATATTTGGAGTCTGGCTAGCAGACCAGAACTATAGACTTTAAATGGTGTTTTCTCCACCACTGAGATACAATGCTTTCCTCCCTTCTTAAGTTGGCCCAAAACAGCATCAACAATATTGTTGCTCTCACCAATCCCTTCCTCTTCCTAGTCATTGCTAAGGAGGTCATCCTGACTGGTGAATGCTTCAGTCCTTATGAGAAAGGTGGAGAGATTATCCTTCTGGTTTTTCTGCTCTTCCAACCTGTCAGCAACCCGTTGGGACAATATCTCCAATTAGGCCATTACTGTAAGCTGAGGAAATTTCTGACTCTGTCTGGCTTGTAGGCTACTCTTCCTAGATTCCATGTGGATCCCAACATAAGGGATTTTTTTTTAAAAAAAAAATAATGTATATGGGAAGGCACCAGTGCAGAGAATAAGCTAGAAGGATGGAGACCTACCATGAAAGAAGAATAGGAAACCTACCATGATTGTGCAGCTAGTCAGATCCCAGAGAAAGGGGAACCATGCATTGATTTGGATGGTGGTGGGAGGGCCAAAGCAGTATAATAAATTTGAATTCATTAAATGTACAGCCAATAAAGCAAAAAAAAAGTGTTCATGAATTGAATAACAGAAATCTTTTAAAGGGGTATGAAAGGGAAAGAGAATGGAAATAAAAATATGGTGATCGTCATGATGACAATGATGGTAATAGTAGTAGGATGAGTAATTGTAAAAGCCACTTTGGTGTAGTTGTTAGAGGCATTGAGAAAGAAACCAACAACGAGCCTTGCCTTGATGTCTTTGGAGATTCTCAATCATCTAGGTCAGGGGTAGGCAACCTTGGCTCTTTTATGACTCGTGGACTTCAACTCCCAGAATTCCTGAGTCAGCATGGCTGGTTCAGGAATTCTGGGTATTGAAGTCCACAAGTCATAAAAGAGCCAAGGTTGCCTACCCCTGATCTAGGTTATGATTGTCCCAAAGGTGCTTTTCTTGATTTTTTTTTCCCCTTGAAAATGTTTCACTTCTCATCCAAGAAGCTTCATCACTTCAGTTCGGAACTTAAGATGCTTCTTGGATGAGCAGTGAAATGTTTTCAAGGAGAAAACCACAAAAATCAAGTTGCCTTTTGGAAAAACACCTTTGAGATAGTCTTTCCTTTGGAACAAAGCCAGAAGGTTGACTTTGGACCTGTCCTTTTCCATCAACTATAAGAAGGCCGCACATCCCAAAAATATTGCCTAGAAAATTGACTGGACTTACTAATGTAGCGCTACAGTTGCTGAGTTCTTCAAATAGCTCTATGATTATTATTTTTTTCTGCTGTTACTGCTTTCCCACTCAGTGAAATGGTCCCTCCAATTTGCCATCAGACAACTAGTCGGAGAATTTTGGAGACACGTTCCACCAGCTTGAAAATGAACTTTTAAAGTCACCTCCTTTAAAGAAGGAAAACAATGCTGGGAAACTGCTAGAAAAAAAAATGTAAAAATCATGCATATGTGTACATGTGACTATAAATAAGGCCAAGTAGAGTTTACTAAAGATGTCGGTCAGTCTGCATAATAATTCTGTGTGTGTTAAACTCAGAGAGCAAAAGAGCAGTTGTCAAAGACTATTTTCAGTTTTTGGACAGGCAAAAGGACACACACATTTCAAGATTCAGCTTCAGCATGTACACAAATAAGAATATATATATATTTAAAAAAAAAGGAGTGGGCAATAAACCAAAGAAATTAGACAATAAACTGAAGAAATATAAAACAGTCTTTCCTTAGATCTTGAAATCAAAACAATGTCCTAGACCAGGGGTAGGCAACCTTGGCTCCTTTATGACTCGTGGACTTCAACTCCCAGAATTCCTGAGCCAGCATGGCTCAGCTTGGAAACCTCTCCCTTTCCCCTCAGTGTGGCTGGCTCAGGAATTCTGGGAGTTGAAGTCCACGAGTCAGGAAAGAACCAAGGTTCCCTACCCCTGCCCTATATCATAGGCCGCTTTATGACTCGTGGACTTCAACTCCAGAATTCCTGAGCCAGCATGGCTCAGCTTGGAAACCTCTCCCTTTTCCCTCAGCATGGCTGGCTCAGGAATTCTGGGAGTTGAAGTCCACAAGTCATAAAAGAGCCAGGGTTGCCTACCCCTATCCTAATCTGATTTTAGCTACTTCTGTCCTGGCCTGGAATTCCTTAGCAGGATTTTACTCTCAGCATTTGCCCCTCTTAGTAAACAGAAAGATGGACCGTGTAGCTTCAGAGCATAAAATCAAAGTAAAGGATCTTCTGAACATGCCCCAAGGTTATCAGAGAAGCTGAAAATCTTCGGGATGACTGATTTTTTAAAATGCCTTTTACCAAACAGAAATTGAGATAAGTTGCAACCAGAAGATATTCCATACCTTTGGTTGAAGATTGGGATGAAGCAGCACATAACCATTGGGATCAATTGCAAAATAATAACCGTTGGGACACAGCTGTTAAGGAAAAGAAACATAACTGTAATGCATTGGCCCCTGTAATTGCATTTTAATGAAAAGCTGGAGACTTTAACCATGCTCGTACTGTACTTCTCAACTTACAACAGTTCCCTTAGTGACCGTTCAAAGTTATAAAGGTGCTGAAAAAAGTGATTTATGACCATTTTACACACTTATGACCATTGCAGCCATCCCCAGGGTCACGTGATCAAAATTCAGACATTTGGCAACTGACTCATATTTATGACGGTTGTAATGTCCCGGGGTCACGTGATTCCCCCTTGGGTGACCTTCTGACAAGCCAAGTCAATGGGGAAGCCGGATTCACTTAACAACGGTGTCACTACCTTAACCATTGCAGTGATTCACTTAACAACTGTGGCAAGAAGGGTCATAAAATGAGGCAAAACACACTGGACACGCGTCTCGCTTGGCGGCACAAATTTTTGGGCTCAATTGTGGCCGTACGTCAAGGACTATCTCTCCTATCTTAAAGAACAATGCTAACATTGAATTGATGCAACTTTCCTTGGTGGGGCGTTGAATTACAAGATCTATCATCCCCAGCCACAATGGCCGTATCCAGAGATGGCCCAACTGGAAAATGCTCGGCAAGGAAGTATCTGAACGTATTTTAATATTGCTCACTACAGCTCCAGAAAAAGATGAATTAAATAATCCTGGAAATTAAGCTGTTACATTTTGCTCCAGCCTTCATCCTTCGGAAATCCAGCGACCCATCATGCATGTTATGTAAGGGGAAGGCCTTCAGTTCAAAAATGAGATTGTTTACGTATTGTAATAATGCTCTAAAGCAGAGGCGATAAAGGAAGCAGAAGGCAGAGAGCAATCAGGTTAATAGGTCCTTCCTTGTCGTGTTTTCAAAGCCATGGCACACAGCCATCCCCTCCAAGTCACTTACAACAGCCGAGAACATTTGTTGGTCCTGCTTAAAGAGGGAAGTTATGTCCCCAAAGCTGGTCAAAAATAGGGGAAAGGGCAAATAATTTTATTTTTTTATTATTATTATTATTTTACTTCCAGGCAGTGGAGCTAGATAGCCTGGAAGAGAACCCTAAAGAGGATCCAAGCTACAGCAGAAGTTAAAAAATAGATATTAGGGGAAACTTACGGTGAATCGAGGGGTCAGTTTCTTAATTTCTTCTAGAGACACATCAACTCCCATTACACCAAGAATCAACTGGTTCTGGCAAAGAAACAGACGGATTTATTTTTAGAGGGTTAAAGGTAGCACAATGAGTCAAGCCAATTTCTCTTCTGAGGAGGTCGAAAATAATTAAGAGCAAATTAGCATATTCCAGGTGTTAATGAGATAACTATTCCTCCCGCGGTGCCCAGTAATTAACATGATTTTAAGTCTCTTAATTGTTAAAGCCTTACGTTTGCTTTAATAATGTGTGTACACCGTGTGTACACTCCTGGGTTGGAAACAAAGGAAGATGCCCTCCATGTATCCGGCATCTTTTAATTTTATTTTTTGTCTCATTGTGTGTTATTCATAATGAGGACGCCTTAGTATACTTTATTAGTAAGGCATTTAACAATAATGCCAGCCCAGTCAGTTGTAACCTTCTCCCAATCTCCAAAAAGAAATAACATATAATTAAACAGAATATCAGAACAATCTGAAGGGAGTTGCCAACTCATTCTCTCTCACACACACGAAGCTAAACAAACAAAACCTGGAAGTTATGTCTGAGGATCCACAGCAAAGAGACAGCAGGTATAAATCTACTTAGATGATTTCCAAATCAAATGTTGTAAACTTGCTCATAATCCATTTGGGTTGAAAAATATACAAGCTGCAGTCTCTACGTTAAATCTCACGTAACTTTGTGGACTTATTTCTGCACAGAGATGCTGTAGGAGATGACCAGGTTGAGCCCGAGAGAGGGGTCAAACATGTCATCAGTCATGAGTCCCTGTGTGCCCCCAAGAGATCTACTTTCCAGCCCTCCTTGAGTGCCTTTCTAATCTCCCACGCAATTCTCTGCTTTTTTTTAATTCAATTTTTGATCAGTTTATTTTTTTTACCGCCGCAACTTTTTAGATTTTACACAACAGTGTGTACAAGCCATTTCCATAACAATAAACCTATCTAATTAGCAAAAAAACAAAAACAAAATCAAAGCATCATTCCTTTTTTCGTTGCAAAAACTACAACATCCAGAAGCAATTTCAAAATAGAAGCAAGGTCAGATATTATTCTCTTCTTTGGATAAAAAAATCGATTTGACTCATTTCTCTTGACCGTTAGTTAGTCAGATTTTTGTAGAGAGCTTAAACTTATCTTTATACTTGTCTGAACTGCCTGAATCTCCTGATTTCCTCAGTGCTCGACAGACACATAATACTGCAAGCTCATTGCAGAAAGCATGAATTGGTTTCCACCTCAAGTTGATTATAGTTGATATGGAAGCTTTCTGTCACTCCAGGATTGCGTGAGGTGCTTACCTGAACATTATTTTGATCTTTGGTTAAGTTGAAGACAGGCAAAGTTCCGGAAATGACCAATCCAAGTTCCTAGAAATCAATCAGAGGGAGAACTGTTTTATATTGAAAACGAAATGTAACCATAAACATGGAAGTCACGATTCAAAATGCAGTTCCCAAAACGTCATTTTGAACGAAATGTGAAATAACGTGGAACATTTTTTTATGAAGGAAACAAACAGCAACCTCCACAATCTGTAGGAGAATGAATAGGACATCACAATGCAGGCTTGGCCCTCTGTATACTATGTCTGCCATCTTGGAGGGTTGAACCCCACCCTATCACACTCTGTGGTCTCCAGAAAAATGAGTCTATGCTGACTGAAAAATGTGACTGGACACACAAGGAATTTGTCTCCGGTGCTTAAGCTCTCAGTGTACATACAAACAACAAAGTGGTAAGTCACTGTTCATAAATCATAAGATACAAACAACAAGTGATAAATCGTAAGATACCAACAGCAGGAGGTAGTAGGGAAGATAAGAAGATAAGATGAGAAGGATAATAGCAATACAGCCTTACTACATGGTTAAATATCCTTAGGCAAAAAACAGTGCTGTAGGAATTAGGTATTTAGCAGAGCGATGGTATGGGAGATAAAAACTATTTTTTTGTGTGTAATTGTTTTGGCATGCAATGCCTTATAATGGCATCCTGAGGGGAGGAGATGAGATAGTTTATGTCCAGTATATGAGGAGTCTGTAGATATTTTCTCAGCCCTCTTTCTGACCCTTGCAATGTACAAGTCCCCAGTGAAAGGCAGATGGGGTGCAATTGTTTTTTCTGCAATCCTAATTATCTGTTGAAGTCTGTACCTGTCCTGTTCTATTTGTACTCTATTCTTTTGCACAAGGTGTAGGCTCATGGATCTGAACTGGAAAAGTCTAGTTCAGGGGTAGGCAACCTTGGCTCTTTTATGACTCGTGGAGTTCAAATCCCAGAATTCCTGAGCCAGCCATGCTGAGAGGAAAGGGAGAGGTTTCCATGCTTAGCCATGCTGGCTCAGGAATTCTGGGAGTTGAAGTCCACGAGTCATAAAAGAGCCAAGGTGGCCTACCTCTGGCCTAGGCCGCTTTATGACTCGTGGACTTCAACTCCCAGAATTCCTGAGCCAGCCATGCTGAGAGGAAAGGGAGAGTTTCCAAGCTGAGCCATGTTGGCTCAGGAATTCTGGGAGCTGAAGTCCACGAGTCATAAAAGAGCCAAGTTTGAAGACCCCTGGTTTAAATATTTAAATATTTTTCCTCACAGTCACGTGATCAAAATTCAGGCATTTGGTCAGGGGTAGTCAACCTTGGCTCTTTTATAACTCGTGGACTTCAACTCCCAGAATTCCTGAGCCAGCCACGCTGAAGGGAAAGGGAGAGGTTTCCAAGCTGAGCCAGGCTGGCTCAGGAATTCTGGGAGTTGAAGTCCACGAGTCATAAAAGAGCCAAGGTTGCCTACCCCTGGTCTAATTGAATAGTTACAGAAGAAACAGAAGTGATCCAGTGATCGTGAAGCATGCATGTTAAAGCTTCCATGTTTTCTTCTATTATCTGGGGAAAATGTATTCATGCAACAGGGAACCGTTACATGATAAGGAACTTCCTGTTTGTAGGAAAATACACCAAATCCTTGCCATAAAGTTCTTGATACGTTGCTAACAAAATGCAAACACACACTTGAAGTCCAAAATATATGCGTGAGGGATTTAGAGTCACTCGTCTCCCAAACAAGGTCTAAAATCCAATGCATTTATTAATTTATTAATTTGATGCTTTATCCTTTTGTGCTTCCTGTTTCCAAGTTCCTAATTGATGCTACAATGACTCAGTCATGAATGACACCTTTATCTTCACATAGATTTATCTAAATCTAGAGAGGAGGCTGTTCTCATACTGGTGTTTTCTGACATCCAATTACAACTGTTGCCTAGAAGGTGAACAGATTAATAAATGAATGAAATAGAATCGAGTGGATTTATGCTGCAGCCGTAATCTAGATGGGAGGAATGGGAAATTTTTAAAGAACGGGAAAACCAGGTGAGAATCATAGAATTATAGGGCTGGAAGGGACCTTAGAGGTCTTCTAGTCCAACACTGGTCTATCTCAGAAGTATCACAATAAGACACTTTGGGACCTGAAGACTTCCAAGATGAGGTAGGATCAGGCCCAGCCTCAAGACTGTAAAATATTTGGGCAGCACTCATGAAATATGGCTATAGTATGGGAGAGGCACAACCTAAGTATCCGATATCTGAGAGAAATTGGAAAAACAGAAGTACAGAGAATGTGATTCAAAGGACATATACTACAGTTTTGTCTGTCTGTCTATCTGTCTATCACAGGGATAGGCAACCTTGGCTCTTTTATGACGCGTGGACTTCAACTCCCAGAATTCCTGAGCTAGCCATGCTGAGGGGAAAGGGAGAGGTTTCCAAGCTGAGCCATGCTGGCTCAGGAATTCTGGGAGTTGAAGTCCATGAGACATAAAAGAGACAAGGTTGCCTACCCCTGGTCTATCATATCTATCTATCTATCTATCTATCTATCTATCTATCTATCTATCTATCTATCTATCTATCTATCTACCCATCCATCCATCCATCCATCTATCTATCTATCTATCTATCCATCCATCCATCCATCCATCCATCCATCCATCCATCCATCCATCTATCTATCTATCTATCTATCTATCTATCTGAAAACAATATTTTAATGGCATGTGGGGTACAAAAGTGTGCCCTTACCTCTGAGAAAAACACACTTTTGTCTGCAGCCCTAAAGTAAATCAGCATGAGGTCATCTGAAGAACATATTGTCCAACATATATATATAATTTAATCTGCTTTTCATTGCTGAAGATCAAGTGAATATTCCAATTCTTTGGAACTCATAAAAAAATGATTAGGAGAGCAGAATGATTTTGCTTTGTTTTGGTGTCTTTCCTTGCTGACATTTAAGAACAGGATGTGTAGGAAGATATGAACTTTATCCAGGACATTTCCAGTAAGGCCTTCGTCACTAACCAAGAAAGGATGGTCAATGAACTTCTGAGCATCGGAACTATAATAATGCAAAAGACTGACCTATTTGATACAGTTGGCTTAGAATGGATGGAGCTCATTGAAAAAAAAATTAAGTATTATGTTGTAAAGCTAACAGGAAAAGGTGGAAATTCAGCTGGCCGGGCAGCAATCATATATTACAATAACCACTGTCAGGTTTAAATGTGTATGTCAATGTTATCACCTTTCAGTGTCAAAGGTTTTAATAGCAGGGGTTGCATTCTTGCAATCTGTTTTGTAAATCGATGTCATCCCCTGCACAGACATTTATTTGACACATTTCCAGAGACAGATGAACAACCAGGAAAATGTTAGATTGCTCTGCCTCAAGCAAAGCTAAACAAATAATGCCTGGCTGGAAATCAGTTCGGGCATTGGAGGAAAAGAACGACAATGATTTAATACGTAGAGCCAAAGTTTTCAGCTAGGTTGGTTCAGCAGAGTCGTTCAAAGAGAAGCAATAGATGGAAACTAATCAAGGAGAGAAGCAACCTAGAACTAAGGAGAAATTTCCTGACAGTGAGGACAATCAATCCGTGGAATGGCTTGCCTTCAGAAGTTGTAGGTGCTCCATCACTGGAAATTTTCAAGAAGAGATTGGACAACCCTTTGTCTGAAGTGATACAAGTTTTCCTGCTTTGAGCAGGGGGTTGGACTAGAAGACCTCCAAGGTCCCTTCCAACTCTGATGTTCTGTTAATTAGATTCCAAGCATCCAAGGAAGGAAGACTCTAAAAGAACAACACGAAGTGTGGGGTCCTTGGTGCTCTCTGCGTTTGGTGGCTTTCTTGCAGACGTTTCATTACCAAACTTGGTAACATTATCAGTTGCAGGAATTGGGTATGGCCGGTCTAGAGACAAGAAGGACTAGAGGTGACATGATAGCAGCATTCCAGTATTTGAGGGGCTGCCCCAAAGAAGAGGGGGTCAACTTATTTTCCAAAGCACCAGAAGGCAGGACAAGAAACGATGGATGGAAACTATCCAAGGAGAGAAGCAACCTGGAATTAAGGAGAAACCTCCTGACAGTGAGGACAATTAACCAGTAGAACAATTTGCCTTCAGAAGTTGTGGGTTCTTCAACACTGGAGGTATTTAAGAAGAGACTGGACAGCCATTTGTCTGAAATGGTATGGGATTTCCTGCCTGAGCAGGGGGTTGGACTAGAAGACCTCCAAGGTCCCTTCTAGCTCTGTTATTCTGTTTTCCTGAACGAAAATCCTTCAATTTTTTTCAATATCGAACACGAGAGGAATAAAAATGTATATCTTGCTGAGGTTATTTCTCAGATTCAGAATGGTGCTGAATTTCTAGGGGGGGGGGAGATTTTTACAATGGATAAGGAGCTAGGTAATCCTGGACTTCCAGCCACAATGGAGCCCAAAACTTATGTTGCTAAGCGAGACACTTCTTAAGTGAGTTTTGCCTGATTTACAACCTTTGTAGCCACGGTTGTAAAGTGAATCACTATGATAGTTAAGTTAGTAACGATTTTTAAGTGAATCTGGATTCCTCTTTGAATTTGCCCGTCAGAAGGCTGCAAAATTTGATCCTATGACCCCAGGACACTGCAACCATCATTAATGCTCATCAGTTGACAAGCATATGAATTTTGATCACGTGACCACCAGGATGCTGCAACAGTTGTTACGTGTGAAAAACAGTCACAGGTCACTTTTTTCAGTGTTAACTGTTAACGCTGCTAAAATCGGATGTTCTTGCTTTGACAACATATGGAGATGCAGCCATTTTTCTTTACTTTGTTTTACTCTTAGAATTAGAGTTAGAAATAGATGATACTGGGGGGGGAGGAGGAGGAGGAGGAGGAATGTGCATGGGAGTTTAGTTAGACATAACAATATTGTAACTAGTGTGAGAACCAAGGGTTTTTTTTTTTTTGAAATAAGAGATGATAAGAAATGGCGGATTGAAGAACTGGAGGGAAAGCCTGCATTTCAAGCTAATTGGAGAATGTGATTTATGACGGTTAACTGGAGGAGGGAATTGTGCTTTGATACTATGTGCTCAGGGGAGGGGAATTTGGATTTTGGCTTGGCCTATGTACCTGCCGATGCTAGGCTACTCAAACAAATATCCTTTAAAGGTAAACAATGCCTCAAAGTTCTTTGAAGAGTTTCATCTGTTGGAACCACGACAGTAACTTTGAACAGTCACTAAATAAACTGTTGTATGTCAAGGACTACCTTTATCTAGCTTTTTCCCCTCTCAACAATGTGAGGGCTATGTGAAAATGCAGGTAGGATGCACTAGTATTTCTTCTTCTATGAATCGATTTTTCTCCCTTGCTATCTCTAATCTTTAGCAAACTTTTTTTTTTTTTTTGTTAAAGAGATTCCTTTCAACTGTAAGGAGGAAGTAAGGTTTCTCCGCTGCAACATTTTAGGGCAGTTAATCATTTCATTACTAACCATTTTCGGTCCAAAATACACCTGTTGCACCTACCAGGGCATCTAAATAAACGTTGGTCCACTGGACTTGTTTCGCTTTTTGTTCAGCTAGGACCATCGGCCTGCCCAAAACATCCAAGTATTCCTGTTTTTTTAAAAAAAATAATAATAAAGCAGAAATTGAGTGAACTGGTTAGTGCATGGTATTTTTTAAAAAAAAGTCTAATGAGGCAATTCAAGATTTGTTACAGCAATCAATGATGTCACAGTTGACTATTAATCACATTATTATTGACAATATATTGTAAACACCCTTGGTTGACCACAGAGAAATATTTGTGCAAAACATTTATAGAAGTACAATTTACTGGACAAACCGGTGAGTCCTAGAGGAGATCAACCCTGACTGCTCTTTAGAAGGCCAGATCCTGAAGTTGAAACTCAAGGACTTTGGCCACCTAATGAGAAGGAAGGACTCACTGGAGAAGGGCCTAATCCTGGGAAAGATGGAGGGCAATAGAAGAAGGGGACGACAGAATGAGGTGGCTGGATGGAGTCCCTGAAGCAGTAGGCATGAGCTTAAGTGGAATCCAGAAGATGGTAGAGGACAGGAAGGCCTGGAGGAATGTTGTCCATGGGGTCGCGATGGGTCGGACACGACTTCACAACTAACAATAACAAAGAATGGGCACCATATTAACAAAAGGCTGCCCAACAGCCATGCTTTACATATGAAGTTACAACAGAGTAAACTGTTTACTCTTTTGGTCTCCCCAAAACAACTGAGTATTCCTAGGTTTGTTTCTGTTTTTTTTTTAAAAAAAAAGGCAAAGACTTCATGAGCTGAAGGTAAATCAGGCCGAAGGCTACCATGCGTTACACATACAGTTATAAAGAAAAAATGTTTTTTGCTTCATCTAGATTAAATTTATCAGTTATATACAATGAATACGTAATTTTTGCTTGGTTCCTGTTCTTCGATAATCTAAGGAAATATGTTTTTTGTTTCTTTATATATGACTGTATTGTTAATTTTTAGTAAATTGAATAGTCAGTATTCAGAAGAAAGCCAGTATGATTTAGTGGTGAAGGCACCAAGCAAAAAACCGGGAGACTGTGAATTCTAGTCCCACCTTAGATATGAAAGCCGCCTGGATGACTTTGGGCCAATCACTAGGAGACTGTGAGTTCTAGTCCCACCTTAGACACGAAAGCTGGCTGGGTGACTTTGGGCCAATCACTAGGAGACTGTGAGTTCTAGTCCCACCTTAGACATGAAAGCTGGATTGGTTCCTATCAAAACCAAAGAATCAATATCTTTCCCTCAAGCAATTCTTTATATAAGATATTTTTTTTACTAGCTATTGCATATGGATGAATTTTTATTTCTTCTGCTTTAGAACTGGCATTCCTGATCAATAAATTACTGCAAAAATACGCAAATACCTGTGTGTTTATTCTTATGGCGCCAATGGAAGGAATTTCGTAATAATAACCTGAAATAGAAAATTTAATACAGAACTTTGAGTTTAACTGAAATATTGATTTCCAGACAGAATACTGGGAATGTTATGACTGTGAACCTGGAGTCAACAGCAGAAGAAACTGTGAAATTCAGTTTCAGAAGCTGTACACATTTAAAGATGGCTGATATCAATTTCCTGGTGAATTTTTTTTCTGTACTTTTTTTTGTCTTTCCTATTAACAATTTTAAATTTTTATTTTTCTATATTGGCCACACAAATATCCAAGCTGTGTGTCCTTGTTCCTATGTTCAAAAGGTTTCCCAATTTACAATAAATTACTTAAATACAACATGTAAAAATGTATCTTTGATGATGCACACATTAAGTTTATCATATGCTGATTTAGCAAGGGAGAGGACATATAAATAACAAAACTACACGAAGTTTATAAATAGTAAATAAATAAAGCTACAAGGACATAAACCTGATTTTATTTATACATAAAAAAATTAGGTTTTCCATATTTTGCTACCTGCTTTATCTAGTCTATTGTTCTTAATATTAATATGCTATTTTAGCTGAGAGGTCCTTAGTGCTCGTTGAGCTTGCTTGTTTCATTCAGACATTTTACTGCCCAACTAGGTAACCTCATCAGTGCTAGGAGGAGGAGGAGGAGGAGGAGGAGGAGGAGGAGGAGGAGGAGGAGGAGGAGGAGGAGGAGGAGGAGGAGGAGGAGGAGGAGGAGGAGAAGGAGGAGGAGAAATGTGAGGTCCTTGGTGCTCTCTGAGCTTGGCTGTTTTCTTGCAGACGTTTCATTACCCAACTAGGGAACATCATCAGTGCATGGAAATGTAAGAATTCTTCATTGCTATATTTGCTGTGATGGATTCTGATGTAGTTATTCTATCTCTTTGTTGATCTAGGACTAGGTCTATTTTGCAGCAGCTAGGTAACATCACCAGTGTGAGGAGGAGGAGGAGGAGGAGAAGGAGAAGGAGAAGGAGAAGGAGGAGAAGAAGAGAAGAAGAAGAAGAAGAAGAAGAAGAAGAAGAAGAAGAAGAAGAAGAAGAAGAAGAAGAATAAGAAGAAGAAGAAGAAGAAGAAGAAGAAGAAGAAGAAGAAGAAGAAGAAGAAGAAGAAGAAGAAGAAGAAGAAGAAGAAGAAGAAGAAGAACTGTGCTGTGGGTCCTTGGTGCTCTCTGAGCTTGCTTGTTTCCTTGCAGACGTTTCATTACCCAACTAGTTAACCTCATCAGTGCTAGAAGGGAGGAGGAGGAGGAGGAGGAGGAGGAGGAGGAGGAGGAGGAGGAGGAGGAGGAGGAGAAGAAGAAGAAATGTGAGGTCCTTGGTGCTCTCTGAGCTTGGCTGTTTTCTTGCAGACATTTCATTACCCAACTAGTTAACCTCATCAGTGCTAGAAGGGAGGAGGAGGAGTAGGAGGAGAACAAACGTGAGGTTCTTGGTGCTCTTGGAGCTTGCTTGTTTCCTTGCAGACGTTTCATTACCCAACTACATCATCTCATCAGTACTAGCAGGGATTGACGTTTACTCTCTTTTTACATCTCAGCCCTGAGCTGCAAATATTCTCCTTTACAGGCTTAAAAGTATCAGAGGGCACTCAGCAGCAACAGTATTATAGATAAATATAAACTGTGGCTTGTTGTAAAACATTTATTCATGCATATAAACACAGAGTACCTTTATTTTCACAGGCCATCCACTGTATGGGTCCTTTGTCATAATTATGTTGACCAACAGAAAATGTAAACACACGGACCTAAAACAGAAATATACTGTGTATGTGTGTGTGTGCGTTAGATAAGCATCAGCTAAAAATGCTGCTGTGAGTATAATATGGCTGGACCTTTATTATTAGCCATGCTTGGATCTTTTGAACATATTCACGAGCGCTAATAGGAAATGATATAAGACAAAATAAAGTTTGACGTTAGAAAAAATGATGGGTTGATACTGCCGCATCATTAAATAATGGCTGCCATCTAGTGCAAGAGCTGTTGATGAGTGACAAAAATAGAAGACAAGTCTCATTTAGGTGGCGCAGCAGTTAGGGTGCAGTACTGCAGGCCACTTCAGCTGACTGTGTTCAGCAGGTCAGTGGTTCAAATCTCACCGGCTCAAGGTTGACTCAGTCTTCCATCCTTCCGGGGTAGGTAAAATGAGGACCCAGATTGTTGGGGGCAATGTAAATATATATATATATGCATTGCTTACTGGTGTACACCGCTTAGAGCAGTGGTTCTCAACCTTTTTAATGCCGCGAACCCCCAACCGGTTGTAAGTCAAGGACTACTCAACCGGTCGTAAGTTGAGGACTACTCAACTGGTGCAGCACCAATTGCAGAATGGGACTTTTGGCGGGCTCAGCAGGGCAGAGACAGCCTGGACAATTCCTATTGGCTTTTGAAAGCCAATAGAATTAGACTCTATTCAAGAGAGTCTATTCTATTGGCTTTCAAAAGCCAATAGAATAAAAGGGAGTAGCACAGCTAAGGAAAAGGGGAAAAAAATGGCGGACTACATTGTTTGGTGACCCCCATGAAATGGTCGTTCGACCCCAAATGGGGTCCCGACCCACAGGTTGAGAACCACTGGCTTAGAGAGTGCTTGCACTTAAAGTGGTATATAAGTCTCATAAATAAATAAATTGTATGATGACCGCCTTTGGTTATCTAAATTAAGTTGTTTTAGGAAGCCTTCTGGAAGACAAGTTGTTGTGAAACTATTCAAAGCTGTTGCAGTTGTTTCTACCCAGCCTTGGGTTCTCTATTCCTCAAACTGTCTTGGGTTTTACCAGCTCTCAATTTTTCCTAAACATCTCCAGGTTGAGGTAGCAATGGTTCTTAATAAAGGTAACCCAAGAACTAGGAGGGGACTTAGAGAAGAAGGATTTTCTCTGCCGTGGCTCTTCTCCTTTGGAATTTTTACCCCGTGAAGTGAGATCATCTCCTACCCTTCTGATCTTCCACAGGATCCTGAAGACCTAGCTCGGCCAGATGGCTTGGGACCCTAATGGGGGAGCATCAAAACAGAATAACAGAGTTGGAATGGATCTTGGAGGTCTTCTTATCCAACCGCCTATACCTGTGGTGGTAAACCTATATGCGTGCCACAGTGGCACTCAGAGCCCTCTCTATGGGCACGTGAGCCGTCGCCCCAGTCCTACGCCTTCAGCTGGGTTTTATAAAACCTTTTCACTTTAGGCCTCTGCTGCCATGTGCAAAAAAACAATCAATCAATCAATTTCAACTTCTCGCGGGAAAAAAAAGATCTCGCAAAGTTGGAATTGATTGATTGAACTTTTTAGTCCCATCCAGTCTGCCGTTACCACTGCAGCCACGCCCACCCAATGGGCCACACCCACCCAATGGGCCACACCCACCCAATGGGCCACGCCCACCCAGCACCTGATGATACATAAGTGGGTTTTGGGTTGCAGTTTGGGCACTCGGTCTCTAAAAGGTTCGCCATCACTGGCCTATATCCTATGCCATTTCAGTTGTCGAATCTCTTCTTAAAAACCTCCAGTGTTGGAGCACCCACAACTTCTGGAGGGCAAGTCAATTCACTGCTTAATTGTTCTGTCAGGAAATTTCTCCTTAGTTCTAGGTTGCTTCTGTGGGAAGTCACCCCCCCCCCAGAGAAAGAAATATTTTTGGAAATATTTAAAAGAGAGAATATATCTCCCTAAAGGATTTAAGGGCAGAAACCAACCAACCCTCCAAGTCTCTCTGTCCCAAACAGAAACCAAGTCTGCAGAAATGCAGATGTGATAATCTTGTCAGAAAGACTGGAATCAGGAAACTGGGATTAGGAAGAAAGATTCCTAGAATCAACAACTCTTCACACCAAAAATCTAAGAGTCGTCAGCCACAGCCCCAGGGAAGCAGGATATGATCTTTGGGACATAATAGGATTAACCCACCACCATCAGAATACCAGAAAGGCACATTTAGACTCAGGTCAAAGTTCATGCCACAGGAACAACTCCAAACAAAAGGCTCCAGAGGGTATAAAAACCCACTCCCTACATGTGCTCACTCTCTTTTCTGCCAGAGCCATCTTTCTGTCTGGCTCTCCTCTTCAATAAACTGCAACCTTCTTTCTAAAGCAGTTGCCATGTTGTTTATTCCCGGCTTGGACTGAATTATGATGAGGACTTTTCCTTCAACACTTCTCTCCTTGATTAGTATCCATCCGTTGCTCCTTGTCCTGCCTTCTGGTGCTTTGGAGAATAAGTTGACCCCCCCTTTTCTTTGTGGCAGCCCCTCAAATACTGGAACACTGCTGTTATGTCATCTCTAGTCCTTCTTTTCATTAAAGTAGACATACCCACTTCCTGCAACTGTTCTTCATATGTTTTAGCCTCCATTTCTCTGATCATCTTTCTTGCTCTTCTCTGCACTCTTTCTAGAATCTCAACATCTTTTTTTATATATACCAGTGGCACAACTGACTCAATAAAATGATCAAATGAATAATGTGTGTATGAGGAACTTAGTCTCCTCTGTCCATTAAAAACAGATGTAGCTTCCATAAGGATTTATTAATTTCATAATACAAGACCAGTGTAGATAAAACTTTAAGGTGAGCCAGTACATGTATACCACAGTCTTTTGATGAACAGAATGCCTAAGTAGTTGGAAAAGTTTTAAAAAATCCTCGGGGGTAAATGGAATCAGGCAATTTGCCTAGATCCTATTTTAGGCTCACCTTGTCTAAAAAATTGTTTCACTTTTTAAAGCCTCCCAGGTAATAAGCAATTCAAAGAGAATACGAGGAGAGCTAATTTGGATTCTACATTTCCTTGCCAATTAGACTGAAAATTGTCAATCAAAGTTAGAGGGGTGAAGCCCACTGGGAAGAAATTTAATTTAAGCCAATAATTAATCCGTCAAAGTTGGGCTTTGGCCTCAACCTTCACCAGGCCTGTTTCCAGCTTGCATGCCAAGTTAGATGATACTGAGAAGACAACTCAAGGGAAGGTTGGTTTGATCCTTTCCAACTTGGCAAAACAGTAACAAGAAACCTAGGATTGGTACAGAAGTTGGACTCAACCTTTAGCCGAGTTCAAAATATTGTTTAATTCAGATATTCATCTCCAGGTCTGAAAATGCATCTAATGTGCGTTGGGTTGAATGTGAACTGTGAATCTACCTTACAACCACCTTCACAGCACATTGTTAAGCCTCTAACACTGATCCTTTTATGTGGAACTTCATAAACCAGGTTTAATATCAAGAAATAAGGGTTTAGGATATAGAATCTCGCACGCTAGGCAAGAGAGAACTCTGTGAATTGTCTGAACCCCCTTTTTCTCAGAATGACGAGCCCTAATTATCCTTTTCTCACAAAACCTATTTTTGGGGGGTGAGTGATACCTTGAAATACATCAAAACTCCAGAACACCCAGCGAATTCTTTTACACAGACGTGCAAAGTGGGAGCAGCAGGACATGTCCCCGTGGCCAGCAAATTTTCTTAAAATGCTGCAATGGTCATTAAATAGTCATTCATAGTAATTGCAAATTTTCATTTATACTTTTACAGTGTCTGCATCTTTGTGTGTATGCATTTTTATTTTCCAACAAATGAATTCTTCAGATATGCACCAGGAATTACAACGTCCCTAAGTACGAAGGTGCCCATAGCCACACTGCATTGATCGATGGACTCAAATGAGCAGTTTCTGAATAAACCCTGAATGTTCCCCTCAATATCTATTTTCTTAGTACAAAATCACCTTTTAAGAAAATGTAACAAAAAAGCACATCACACCTCATTTCAGAAAGAGACCCAACTCTCTCCTTAACAACTGTCTTAGATTTCCCTCAGGATCAAATCAGTTTAACTAGGAAATTGACTCGCCACCGTGGCCCAGGGCAGGTATAATGTTTCCAAAAACAATGTATCATTGTTGGAACTGAAAAGTCTTCCAAAAAGTCAAATTATTACCAATTCAGGCCTATTACACATAACGGAGCTTTATAAAAATGAGACTTTAATCAGTCTGTGTTGTTCGCCAGATGCTAGAACATTCTATGCACAGACCATTGGTTAAATAAATGTCTGCACGAACAGCAGACGGCACCCGCAATTATTCCTACCCGCAAAGATGTTTCTGCAAAGTGACGGCCACTTAGCTGAAATTTTAAATGCAGTTATAAGGAAGAGCTTGCCTGACATTCTCTAAGCTGGTTAGTCTTCTTATCAATCAATGACCTAGGATCTAGCCATAATTGCTGTCTCTGGCCAGTAAAAATCAGAAGCAATCTGCTTCAAGGGCTTCATTGCAGATTCAGTCCTGTTCACTCTAAACAGTAGTGGCTGGTTGACTAGCCCCCCCAAATTGGAATTTCATACATCTGGTAGAACAGGGGTCTACAAACTTGGTCCTTTTATGGACTTCAAAATTCCCAGAATTCCTTAGCCAGAATGCCTGGCTGAGGAATTCTGAGAGTTGAAGTCCACAAGTCATGAAGGGGCCATAGTTCCCCCATGCTGGCTCAGGAATTCTGGGAGTTGAAGTCCACAAGTCATGAAAAGGCCATAGTTCCCTCATGCTGGCTGAGTAATTCTGGGAGTTGAAGTCCACAAGTCATGAAGGGGCCATAATTCACCCATGCTGGCTCAGGAATTCTGGGAGTTGAAGTCCACAAGTCATGAAGGGGCCATAGTTCCCCCATGCTGGCTGAGGAATTCTGGGAGTTGACGTCCACAAGTCATGAAGGGGCCATAGTTCCCTCATGCTGGCTGAGGAATTCTGGGAGTTGAAGTCCACAAGTCATGAAGAGGCCATAGTTCCCCCATGCTGGCTCAGGAATTCTGGGAGTTGAAGTCCACAAGTCATGAAAAGGCCATAGTTCCCTCATGCTGGCTGAGGAATTCTGGGAGTTGAAGTCCACAAGTCATGAAGGGGCCATAATTCACCCATGCTGGCTCAGGAATTCTGGGAGTTGGAGTCCACAAGTCATGAAGGGGCCATAGTTCCCCCATGCTGGCTGAGGAATTCTGGGAGTTGACGTCCACAAGTCATGAAGGGGCCATAGTTCCCCCATGTTGGCTGAGGAATTCTGGGAGTTGACATCCACAAGTCATGAAGGGGCCATAGTTCCCCCATGCTGGCTGAGGAATTCTGGGAGTTGACGTCCACAAGTCATAAAAGGGCCAAGTTTGAAGACCCCCTGTGGTAGAAGGTAAGGAAGGAACTGCTATGGGAGACCCCGCAATGCTGGAATACTACCGTCATGTCATCCCTAGCCCTTATTTTCTCTAGACTAGCCCTACCAATTTCCTGCAACCATTCTTCATGGGTTTTTTTTCCCCTCCAGTCCTTTAATCATCTAAGTTGCTCTTCTTTGAGACTTTGGAAAAAGTGCAGAGAAGAGCAACTAAGATGATTAAAGGCCTGGAGACAAAAACATATGAAGAACGGTTGCAGGAATTGGGTACGTCTAATCTAGAGAAAAGAAGGACTAGGGGATGATGCGATAGCAGCGTTCCAGTATTTGAGGGGCTGCTACAAAGAAGAGGGGGGAGGGGCAACCTATTTTCCAAAGCACCAGAAGGGAAGACAAGAAACAATGGATGGAAACTAATCAAGGAGAGAAGCAACCTGGAATTAAGGAGAAACTTCCTGACAGTGAGAACAATTAACCAGTAGAACAGCTTGCCTTCAGAAGTTGTAGGAGCTTCATCATTGGAGGTTTTTAAGAAAAAACTGGACAGCCACCTGTTTGAAATGGTATAGAGTCTCCTGTCTGAGCAGGGGATTGGACTAGAAGACCTCCAAGGTCCCTTCCAGCTCTATTGATCCCAACTATCATATGCTACCCCAGATGAAGGTGGCACTATGTTATTTCCCATGCTACCAAAAATATTACTATTGAATGCAGGTAGTTATTGGGTCCCCAACTGTAGAACAGACCTGGCACTATCACCACTGAGCTTCCATTGCTCCCGTTCTGCTGGTGACAGCAATCCTCCCAACTCAACTGCCCAAGGAGAGGGAAGGGGAGACTTGAGCAAAAACTAGAAAACAGCTAATTTCATGAAATTGATTTTGAAGAACCTTCATCAAGCATTCTTCCAGAATATGTGAAAGCCGAAAGCCGAAAAGAGAAACTGTGTCCTCTCTTCTCAGCTCCTGCCATTAAATGAAAGTTGAGGAATTCCCAACTCCATTCAGCTAGGGCAGTGGTTCTCAACCTGTGGGTCGGGACCCCATTTGGGGTCGAACGACCATTTCACGGGGGTCGCCAAACAACGCAGTCCGCCATTTTTTCCCGCTTTTCCTTAGCTGTGCTACTCCCTTTTATTCTATTGGCTTTTGAAAGCCAATAGAATAGACTCTCTTGAATAGAGTCTAATTCTATTGGCTTTCCAAAGCCAATAGGAATGGTCCAGGCTGTCTCTGCCCTGCCGAGCCCGCCAAAAGTCCCATTCTGCAAACGGTGCTGCACCAGTTGAGTAGTCCTCAACTTACGACCGGTTGAGTAGTCCTCGACTTACGACCGGTTGGGGGGTCGCAGCATTAAAAAGGTTGAGAACCACTGAGCTAGGGATCTTGCCACCATATTAACAACATTTGCAAAGGTGGGGTGGTGAAGATGGTGTTGAGTGAAGATACAGTATTGTTAGCGTGGATCAGAGAACCCAAAATGGTGTGATTGAGCTCTATTTCAATCTTTTGAAAGTCAAGAGATACTAGAATTTCAAACCCTGGTGACTCATAGGCACATCCATCCAGTTTCCTTGGCAACAATTTTAAGTTGACCTCAGCCTTCTTCCAGAATGGTTTTCAATTTCCCACTGTAGTACAGCTTTGGCATTTCCAGAAAGTTCTCTCATCCAAATACTAACCAGGCCTGATCCTGCTTAGCTTCTGAGCCCAGATGGTCAACCTGGCGCTATCCCAGCTGTGACATAGTTTCTGTTATCTTCTTAAATTATCACATTTCTTTTTTTTAATCATTGCCTAAAATATATTCAATATTACATCAATATGAAAATGAAAATATTACTTTAAAATAGAGCAAAGCTATTTGTTTAAAATTCCACTGCTCATTCCTTTTTATGCACTGACCTAAGTTCACACATGTTACACATTTGCATCACCTTCTTGACTTTTTTTTTAAAAAAATAGCAAATGATTTTAGAGAAAGTAAATATCGATATATTTTTACCAAAGGATCTTACCTTCTTGTCCTTATTGTATTTCTCAAATATCTCCTGAGCTTTTTCTTCACCTCCATCAGTAAACAACATTATAATTTTGTTGCAGTTAGCTCTGAAGACACTCTGACTATTCTAGAATAGATGAAAATGTAGTCAGGAGACATACATTCAATTTTGCAGCTACTAAGATTGTTGGCCGAGCAGGTACAAAAATAGTCAGGGAAATGATTGAAGCCTGGGACTGGGCCCTTTGTCAGTTAACAGGCGTACTAAATTACCACCAGCTTATCAAATACTTAAGAGCTGAGGGCATAAATATGACTCATAGAACAGTCCAAAGCATGGTGACCAAATTTGATCTCACATCATTATCCTGGGACACATATATTTGCCTTCATTCATAATTTCTTCCTGCTATTCACATAAAGATTGGCAAACTAACTTCACAGAGAAAAGACAGGATATGAATGTCATGTATAAATAAAATTGGAATTCACTCACTTATTCAATAACTAAGCCCATTCTAAACAATCATTTCTTTATGGTACTACAAAAATGTCAATACACCAAAATTAAGTTTTTAATTTGATGAGACTAAGATTATTAAATTGAATGAGTCTTCAATATTGATTGAGTCTTAAATATTTTAAGTTATTTATCTATCCATCTTTTTTTTTCAAACACTCTCCCTAGGTTAATAAAACTAGCAATAGGATCTTCACTCAGAAATAAAACATTTATGTAGAAATAAAAACATTCACACAGGATCCAACACAGATTCTTGTTGCTTTGGAAATCTGACAGTGTAAACTTTTTTTAAAAAAAATGCTTCATAAAAGTTATAAATTACCCATGATCAAACCTGCTCCTATTTCAGATTCTGTGATGATACCGAAAACTCCATATAGCCATGAATAAATAAAATAATTTATGAAAGATACAACCTGTGAATAATTGCCGTGGTTTAAGTAAAGGAACTGTATTTCAGATATTTAATAAAAGCAAAGAACTTTTTTGCAGCATGTAACTGCATATCTCCACTGATAACCAATTTAAGTAATATCTTGAAAATGCTTATTGGTCAAATAAAGATTTAGGAACTGAATATTGAATTACCATTAAATTACACACTGGCTGAGGAATTCTGGGAGTTGAAGTCCACAAGTCATAAAAGGGCCAAGTTTGAAGACCCCTGTCTTAAATCTAACAAAGAAAATGGAGGCTGGCTGAGGAATTCTGGGAGTTGAAGTCCACAAGTCATAAAAGGGCCAAGTTTGAAGACCCCTGTCTTAAATCTAACAAACAAAATGGAGGCTGGCTGAGGAATTCTGGGAGTTGAAGTCCACAAGTCATAAAAGGGCCAAGTTTGAAGACCCCCTGCTCTAAAAGAATGCATACAACCAGCTATCTGAAAGGAATATAAATCTTTCCTTTCCCCATCAACCAGTCAGAGCTGAAGAAGCTTCTGGAATGAGCAGCGAAGAAAAACAAGAAAGTCCAGTTGCCTCCTGAAAAAGCACCATTGGGACCCTCCCCTGCCTTTTTGCAGAAGCAGCCCCTCCCTCCCACAACACCAGTCTACCATTTACCCCAGAGACTGTGCAATAGTTCTTTTTCTAATTCTAAAAGGAGCTTCTGAACATCTGGTGTCCTATTATTTTCCAGGAAAATGCAGGTTTTTCAAAGCCTTGTAGAGAGGATAACAAACTTGGAAGCATCCTAATTTTGGACAGTAAATGACAAAGAAGCACTGGTTTATACTGGTGCTCCTAGTACAATTCTAGAGAGTCTTTTGGAGATGCTAAGCAAGTGTTTGCTAGCCAAACCTGATATAATTTTGGCATTAATCACAGTTTAGCAGGTCACTCTAACACTGCCACATACGTAACCTTAATTCTGACCAGTGGCAACCAGCCACCCCATAAATCAACTTTAAATCAAAAGGTTGCAGGTTTACCCAATTATAGCTGAAATTAGCCAGAGTTTGTCAAGCCCACAAACACTCCCCATTAGGGAGGGAAGATTAAAATTCCTTGCTTAGAAGCTTTATTTCTAAAATCCCCTTTTTCATGGGGGGGGCAGAATTTTCAAAAGAGCAGGAAAGTCTACTGAGGTCCATGGAGAGCTTAAGAAACAGAGGAAGAAAAATGAAAGCAAGATTAAAACTCTTGCATCTGAAATCACAAGTGGGCCTAAATGTAACATCTTCCTCCACCGAACTTCGTTAAAATTAAATGGAACTGCTGCAGGAAAGCGATTATTTTTTGTTGTTGTTATTGTGACAGTGGGAAGTAACCCACCACTCACCGTATTCCTTTTAAAAACTCCATCTGCTTTTTATATGGCTGTTACGTATAAGCTGGGTTGACAAGATCAGAAATGAGGAGGGGATAAGCTGCCTGGGAAAGCCAAGGGAAATCATCAAAACAATTAAAAACGAAAGTTAGACTATTTCGAACATGTGATGCGACACCCAGAAAAATACAGCATACTCCATTTAATCCTCCAGGGAAAGATTGAAGGCAAACGAGGTCCAGGCAGAAGAAGAACATCATGGCTTCAAAATCTAAGGGACTAGTTTGATCAAAACTCAGCAGCACTTTTTTGTGTGGCTGCTGATAAAAACAGGATCATCAATGTCCAATAACAGATGTAGAAGAAGAAGAAGAAGAAGGAGAAGGAGAAGGAGAAGGAGAAGGAGAAGAAGAAGAAGAAGAAGAAGAAGAAGAAGAAGAAGAAGAAGAAGAAGAAGAAGAAGAAGAAGAAGAAGAAGAAGAAGAAGAAGAAGAAGAGCTTTTAAAATGGCTTTATTAAAAATACTGATTTTTCCCCAACCATCTATTGGGAAAGCAATATTCTTTATTTGCTTTGGACACATCGGGATGACTCAAAAGAGCTTCTGAACTTAATGAAGCCTGTCCTCACTTAATGACTGGTCACTTAGTGGATGTTCAAAATTACAACAGAACCCCCCAAGGGTACTTACGACCACTTCCAGAGTGTCAGTGGCACACACAGACCCACGATCACAAGATCTTATTTGGGGAGCTAGGCACCTGCAGTGTTCTGTTGTCACATGACCTGATCTATGATTATTATTATTTTTTGCTATTTTCTATTAGTAATTCTTACATATTCTGGTTATTGTATCTGACCACAAACTACTCCACATATCTTTTCTAGAATGGACAGAGGCATAGTTTTATTATAACTTTATAATAACATGCAATGCAACTTTAATTCAGTGTCTTCAAGCTGCTGTAAAAATTTCTCATGACTCAGAGTTTTAAAAATTAATACTCAGATGAAATTGTGTTGTTTTTTTCTTACTAGGAATTTATTTCTTTGAGGGGTCCATGGTGTTTTCTGAGGTTGGTTGTTTTCTTGCAGATATTCCATTAGTCGAACTAGGTAACATCATCAGTGCTAGTCAATCCATGCTAATTCATTTCCTTATCACTAGAGGGCACTGTGGCACTGCTGTCTCTTTTCCAGTATGATCGCCCCCTCTACTGGTTAAAAATATATAGTGCAGCTTTCATGCCTTAAAAAGCCAGAGATGGGTTGGAAAGCAGAGAAGAGAGAACAGCGGGTAGAAACAGAAGAGGTGGCAGAAGTAGAACATAGGATAGGAGAGAATAAATTAGGAAAGGGAAAGTAGAGACTGAGAAGAAAGTGTGGGGAAGCACTGGGTAGGAAAGAGGAGGCAAGAGATGAGTGTGGTGAAATTACTACAGAGTGGCAGAAGGTATGAAATCTTCCAAAGGAGCAACAATGCAGTTCATATATTTGATATGCAGAAAGAGAGGCAGGATGGACCTTCCCTAACCTCTTATGGGGTATATCTAATAGCTTTGCAGATTTGTGCTTTAGTCCGGCAAGATTCCTGTCTACAGGCAAGCAACAATAAAGAAACTGCTCTGGAATAACTTAAGTTATTTGATAGTTTGACCGCATTGTGGTGAGATGGGCAACTATATATAGACTCTTATCACGTACGTCTAATAAGTATGCAGATTTGTGCTTTAGTCCGGCAAGATTCCTGTCTATAGGCAAGCAACAATTAAGAACCTGCTCTGTAATAACTCGAGTCGTTCATGATTCCCTCACCTGACAGTTTGATCACAATGTGGTGAGAGGGGCAACTATATAAAATACTTAAATGAATAAATAAAAGAAAGCCTGGGTGTCTCCTTGAGGTGCCCTAAGACAATCTTCTAGGAGCCCCCCAAAAAACCCAAGGAGGTTTTCTTTTTTTTTCTTTTTTTTCTTTTCTTTTCTTTTTTCTTTCTTTCTTTTTCTTTCTTTCTTTCTTTCTTTTTTCTCCCTCCCTCTCCTTCCTTTCCTCCTTCCTTCCTCTCTCCATCCTTCCGTCCTTCCCTCTGTTCTTCCTTCCTTCCTTCCTTCCTTCCTTCCTTCCTCTCTCCCTCCCTCCCTCCATCTTCCTTTCTCTGCTTTCTTTCATTCTTTCTTTCTTTTTTCTCCCTCCCTCCCTCCTTCCTTCCCTACCTCCATCCTTCCTTCCCTGTTCTTCCTTCCTTTTTTCCTTCCTTCCTCCCTCCCTCCATCTTCCTTTCTCTCCTTTTTTTCTTTCTTTCTTTCTTTCCTTCCTTCCTTCCTTCCTTTCTTTCTCCCTCCGTCCTTCCTTCCTTCCCTCCCTCCTTCCTTCCCTGTTCTTCCTTCCTTCCTTCCTCTCTCCCTCCCTCCCTCTATCTTCCTTTCTCTCCTTCCTTTCTTTTCTCCCTCCTCCCTCCTTCCTTCCCTCCCTCCATCCTTCCTTCCTTCCTTTTTTCCTTCCTTCCTCTCTCCCTCCCTCCACCTTCTTTTCTCTCCTTTCTTTCTTTCTTTCTTTCTTTCTTTCTTTCTCTCTCTCTCTCTCTCTTTCTTTCTTTCTTTCTTTCTCCTGGCTTAACCCACATCTTTACTGTACAAATCATGTTAAACACATATGAACTGTACCACCACCACAGGTCAACCCAGCTGTTGAAAAAAAATGAGGTTAGAATTCTGCCTCCTGCTTAAAAAATAAATGGGTCCTTATTTAGCCATGCATTTATATATAGTACAGGAACGAACCCCCAGTTGAATAAGCTCAAAGAGGCCACTTTCCAGCTCTTACATTGAGTAGCTGCTCAAAAGCGTAGCTGAACCCCTTTTTGTAATCGGTGATGCCTTTTGCTTGGATTTTGTAGACCGCTTCCTTCAACTTTTTCTTATTCCTCACGTTAGCTTGTACCAGATGGTTGAAACAACTGACGTTTTGAGCTTTATCATTGAACTGAGAGAGAGAGAGAGAGAGGAGACCAGTCAATAAAGCAGAGGAGGTAACAAGAGAAAGTCATTTGGCAAATTAGATCACAAATTAAGCGATTGATAGACATCAGGTTGTTCTTAAAGTGGAGCTCAGCATTCTTTTGCAGGATATAAATGTTTAGACCAGGCTGTTTCCACCAGTACTTTAGAATGTCTTCTTCCCTCTGGAGACTTAGGCAAACAGAACAGAACAGAACAGAACAGAACAGAACAGAACTTTCCAAGTTACAAAAGAAAAAAACACAAGTCATGCCCTATGGGTAAGCATGCAATGTTTAGGGGGGGGAAAGGAAAAAAGCTGATTAAATTCAGTCACTGATCTGACTGGAAAACCAGCTATGCAATTCTTTAGATCAGGGGTAGTCAACCTTGGCTCTTTTATGACTCGTGGACTTCAATTCCCAGAATTCCTGAGCCAGCTGGCTCAGGAATTCTGGGAGTTGAAGTCCACGAGTCATAAAAGAGCCAAGGTTGACTACCCCTGCTTTAGATCATCTACCAGTAGATTTGGATCATGATAGCAAATGAACCAAACTGCTTCCTCCCTATAGTTTATTTGCTTACATCTACTATTTAGGGTGAGTGATCCATCAATGATCTGCATGGAGGTTGATGGATGGCTTGAGAACCTAACAAAACAAATCTGGTTTTCTGACAAATAACAGATAAACCTACTGGATTAACATCAAAGTTAACCGATGCATTAATGTATCAGCCCTGCATATTGAAGCAGGAAACTTTTGCAAACCATCGTCCATTGAGCAAAGATATCTGTGCATTTGCCAACCAAAAGTCAAATATTTCTTTGTTGATCGGCTTTGTGTGATCACCCATGTCAATGAGCGATTTTAGTTAGCAAACAGAATTAAAGAAAACAATGACAGACACTATGAAAGTTAGAATGCAAGGAGCTGAGAAACAACAGCCCACATTTCACCTACAACCAAATATTGTTTGTTTACCTGAAAAGTATCATTGTTTGGACTTAAATCCAATTACTCCTTTGCATAATTTTCCACCTTGGTAATTGAGATAGGACTGAAATTTATCTGTCTGTCTGTCTGTCTGTCCGTCCATCTGTCTATATATCCATCTATCTATCATCTATTTATCTATCTTGTCTTCTATCATCCATCCACCATCCATCCATCTATCTGTCTATCTATCTATCTATCTTGTCTTCTATCATCTATCTATCATCTATCTATCTATCCATCCATCCATTCATCCATCCATCCATCCATCTCTATCTGTCTATCTATATATCTATCTTTCTTTCTGTCTGTCTGTCTTCTATCATTTATCTATCATCTATCTATCTGTCTGTCTGTCTCTCTATCTCTATCTCTATCTCTATCTCTATCTCTATCTCTATCTATCTTGTAAATACTGTAAACCCCATCTGAAGCATTGGTGCCACCTAAAGTGTTAAAGAATATCATCGTATACAATCGATTTTCCTGCAATTGTAATTACAATTACTCAATTATTTAAAATTTTAAATTAACAGAATAACAGAGTTGGAAGTGACCTTGAAGTTCTTCTAGTCCAACCAATCCTGTACCATTTCAGACAAAAAGGAATTGAAATTCTTTTTTTAAAATTATAAATGCATTCTAATTTAATAATGATCTATTATGGGGACCTCTGTTTGTAGGAGAGTCATTCCATTCTTAACGTTTTATTGCTGCAACATATGAAAAGAGAGAGGGAGGAAAGCAAATATAAGCCATTTAGAAGCAACCAATTTTCTTTGAATCTGTAACACTTTTAAATGCAGAACGCTGATAAAAAAAAAAGAGGTAATTCCACCTCTTTAATTCAAAACCAGCATACTGCTACATCGCAGTGTTGTTTGGGGAATACGGAAATTTGAAAATATATAGCCGGTTTGATGCCAATCTAATCAGATCTTGCCAAAACTCATTTTCCATTCTAGGGAGATCTGTTGGTGCAGCTTGATGGCCCAGATGTATCTATACATATTACATGGGCAGCCCTGAAACAAATCTAATGCCAAGACATTATTCCTTGCAACTATTCCCAGATTTATTTTTCGTCTCCTTGCATTCAAGAACAGAATCTAAGGGCTAATTCTTAAAAAGGGGTAATTCTTTAAAAAGACACTGGTAGCATGGCTCAAATTTAGCACGTCTTTCACAGCCAGAAAATGGCTTCTGTTCTTCCCAAAAAAATGCTTTTTCAAAAGGCAACTGGACTTTGTTTTTCCTTGAAGACGTTTCGCTTCTCACCGAAGAAGCTTCTGAAGCAACCTAGAATTAAGGGGAAACCTGGAAGTGAGAACAAAATCAACCAGTGGAATAGAAGCTGCCTTCGGAAGTTGTGGGTACTCCATCACTGGAGGTTTTTAAGGAGAGATTGGACAGCCACTCATTCTATAGGACAGGGGTAGGCAACCTTGGCTCTTTTATGACTCATGGACTTCAACTCCCAGAATTCCTGAGCCAGCCACGCTGAGGGGAAAGGGAATGGTTTCCAAGCTGAGCCATGCTGGCTCAGGAATTCTGGGAGTTGAAGTCCACAAATCATGAAGGGCCACAGTTCCCCCATGCTGGCTCAGGAATTCTGGGAATTGAAGTCCACGAGTCATAAAAGAGCCAAGGTTGCCTACCCCTAGTATAGGGTCTTCTGCTTGAGCAGGGCGTTGGACTAGAAGACCTTCAAGGTCCCTTCCAGCTCTATTCTGATTGATTGAGAAGTGAAAAGTCCTCAGGGAAAAACCAAGGAAGTCCATTTGCCTTTTGAAAAAGGACCTTTGGGATAGCCATGACCCTGGATGACTGAGCATCTCCATAGATGCTTCTGTTCTTCAAACACCTGGAGAAAGAGTTCAGCTGCAGGTAATCCTCATCCGAAATTTTTTGGCCAACTCAATCCAAAGTAGTTTGTTGTGTATATAATTTTAATAATTAGGCTATGCCAGATCAGAGCTACGGGTTCTGTTTAATTGTCATCCTCTCTTCTTTCCAACTGTTTGTTTGCTTATATATTTATAGCCTGCCTTTATTGTTTACAAATAACCCAAGACAGCAAACATATCTAAAACATCTTCCTTCTCCTATTTTCCCCACAACAACAACCCTGTGGGGTGGGCTGAAAGAAAGTGACTGGCCCAAAGTCACCCAGGTGTTTTTCCTTGGTAAGGCAGGAAAACTACTACTACTACTACTACTACTACTACTAATACTACTACTACTACTACTACTAATAATAATAATAATAATAAAGTTGGAAGGGACCTTGGAGGTCTTCTAGTCCACCCCCCTGCTCAGGCAGGAAACTCTATTCCATTTCAGACAAATGGCTGTCCAGTCTCTTCTTAAAAACGTCCAGTGTTGGAGCATTCACCGCTTCTAGAGGCAGGTTGTTCCACTGGTTAATTGTTCTAACTGTCAGGAAGTTTCTCCTTAGTTCTAGGTTGCTTCTCTCCTTGATTAGTTTCCATCCGTTGCTTCTTGTCCTGCCTTCAGGCACTTTGGAGAATAGCTTGACTGCCTCTTCTTTGGGGCAGCCCCTGAGATATTAGAAGACTGCTATCATGTCCCCCTCGTCCTTTTCTTCGTTAAACTAGACATACCCAATTCCAACAACTGTTCCTTGTATGTTTTAGCCTCCAGTCCCCTGATCATCTTTGTTGCTCTTCTCTGCACTCTTTCTAGAGTCTCAGCATCTTTTTTACATCGTGGTGACCAAAACTGGATGCAGTATTCCAAGTGTGGCCTTACCAAGGCTTTGTAAAGCGATATTAATATTCGACATGATTTTGATAGAACTCAGCGTCTCCTCGTGAGTGTCTCAAAGTCACCCAACTTTTTTTCATGGCTAAGGTGGGACTAGAATTCATGGTCCCCACTTTTTTAGCCTTGGGCCTTAACCACTGGACCAAACTGGCTTTATGGAGAAGGAAGTATAGAAAAACACAGCAAACAGAGCCGTGCATTGTTCATTTCCTATCTGTTAAACATGGCCTCTAGAGCAGCGTCCATGGTAAAGTAGAATTTCAAAAAAGCATTAGTCATAGCAGCTCTTAAGATGGGCAAGGTGGGAGGCAGGGAAAGCAACTGAAAATACAAGGGCTATTTTCAGTGCAGAATGAATGCACAGAAGGAGGAGAGGGAGAGACAGAGACAGAGAGAGAGGGAGAGAGAGAGAGAGATTAACAAATTTCATTAACACATTTCATTTATGCAGAAGTCATAAATTGTTTTCAATGCCAAATTCTTTCCCTGAAAACCATTTGAGAATGGAGCCAGAAAGCTTTCAAGTAATCAAAGTAATCTGGCAAAAGGAAGGAAGGAAGAAAGGAAGGAAGGAAGGAAGGAAGGAAGGAAGGAAGGAAGGAAGGAAGGAAGGAAGGAAGGAAGGAAGACAGTGAGAGGAAGGAAAGAAGAAAGAAAGAAAGAAAGAAAGAAAGAAAGAAAGAAAGAAAGAAAGAAAGAAAGAGGAAGGAATGAAGTAAGGAAGGAAAGGAAGGAAGGAGAGAGAGAGAAAGAGAGAGAGAGAGAAAGAAAGAAAGAAAGAAAGAAAGAAAGAAAGAAAGAGAAAGAAAGAAAGAAAGAAAGAAGGGAGGGAGGGAGGGAAGGAAGGAAGGATCAAAGAAGAATAGAGTACGACATTTATATCATGTGAAGATGCATTTTGATCTACACTACACCCATCTCTGCTTTCCTTGTCTGCTATTTGCTCTCCAGGAGCTCCTACTTTTCGAACTGAGGGCATCCCTTAAGCATTTCAGCCATATAATTAAAGAAGTGACCAAAAGGACAAGTAACAACATAACAAGAGACAACAGAAAGTTGGTTGAGTATGGGGTAATTGTTGCGCAATCTTCTTCAGACCCAACCTCCCCACTTCTGGGTGACAAAAAGAGAGGGGTACTCACGGAAACCACGTTCACAAAGTCATCGTCTGACAAGGTTTCCAACATTTCAATGACAGACGTCCGGATCAACTTCAGGGTCAACCCACTGACGCTCCCACTTCTACCAAAGAGAAGAAGCCAAAGGGGGGGGGATCTATAGTTATCACTGACCATCAATGGACATCTCATGTGTTCTTCTGGCTCTTTACAGCAGTGCTGGGCCAGTTCTGACTTGCAGTCTTATCCCTTCCTTCCTTCCTTCCTTCCTTCCTTCCTTCCTTCCTTCCTTCCTCCCTCCCTCCCTCCCCCTGCCTGTCTCCTTCCTTCCTCACTTCCTCCCTCTTTCCTGAATGTCTCCTTCCTTCTTTCCTTCCACCCTCCCTCCTTCCCTTCCTTCCTCCCTCCCTCCTTCCTTCCTAAATGTCTCCTTCCTTCCCTCCCCCTTCTTTCCTTCCTCCCTCCCTCCTTCCCTTCCTTCTTCCCTCCCTCCCGTCTCTCCTTTCTTTCTTCTTTTCTTCCTCCCTCCCTCCCTCCCTCCATCCTTCCTGTCTGTCTCCTTCCTTCCTCCCTCCCCTGTCTGTCTCTTTCCTTCCTTTCCTTCCTTCCTTCCTCCCTCCCTCCTTCCCTTCCTACCTCCCTCCCTCCTTCCTTCCTGAATGTCTCCTTCTTTCCTCCCTCCCTCCCTCCCTTCCTTCCTCCCTCCCTCCCTCCCCTGTCTGTCTCCTTTCTTTCTTCTTTTCTTCCTCCCTGCCTCCCTCCATCCTTCCTGTCTGTCTCCTTCCTTCCTTTCCTTCCTTCCTCCCTCCCTCCCTCCCTCCCTCCCCTGTCTGTCTCCTTCCTTCCTTCCTTCCTTCCTTCCCTTCCTTCCTCCCTCCCTCCCTGCCTCCATCTGTCTCCTCCCTCCCTCCCTCACTTCCCTGTCTGTCTCCTCCCTCCCTCCCTCCCTCCTTTGCTGATGCTCCTTTAAAATTCACATCCTTAGAAGGTGCTTTGGGATTTCAAGCCCTTTCTTTAGGAAGAGCAGCGAGCGATACTAGTATGTTTTCATCCTATTGCATTTCAAAAGGTTATCAAAGCGAGTATCATTTATATATTCATCCCATTGATACGGTCTCCCATCTCATGAGAAGCGTTATCTTCCTTCCCATTTTTTAAACATTTTCATACCCATCGCTGTAAATATTTGAAATGCTTAACCTTTGGGGCACTTACGCATCAACGAGGATCAGCATATCTTTTGGAGAGGCAGCGCCTTGGATATACCTGAAATGAAAAGACAGGTGATAGGAAAGGTCAGACGTTTCTTTAAAAAAACCCCTTCCTTAGCATCTGATCCCTCAAGGAGAATCACAGGAGACTTCTTTGCAAGCCACCAGGAAACTCATGAAAAAAAAACAACAACTCATTTCTATTTGCCTGACGCCTGTCCGAACAACGCTGAGTTGCACAACCTCAGAAAGCACTTTGCTGCACCACGTTCCAAGCTCCGCAAAACAAGACAAAAGGTTTCATAAAGAGAAAATGAATTGACGTGGTGTCTGGGTCCAAAAGCTGAACCTGGCATTCGGTGGGTGGATGTGATGCACAAGATCTTTGATTAGGACCCTGAGTTTTGTTCCAATCTCTGGCTGGCTGGCTGGATGGACGAATTAACAATCCCACAGGGGGGGTGGCTTTGAGAATGGGGAAAACAGCTCTCTGAAAAGGTTCTCGCCCCGGTTCCATCTTCAATCTAAATTGCTTCGCTCCTGCTAATAGAAAATCTGAAAGTGGGGGGGGAGAGCAGGGGAGGAAGGAGGCAAAAAGTAAAATGAAATAAAAACCCCACTACCTTTTTGCTCCCACGGTTCCATTTCCCAAACTTCAAAGCAACTCGTTCCTCCTTTAATTAAGACATCTGAAAACAACAGAGGCGTTCCCGAGTCAACATTTGGTTAATTCGAGCGCCTGGTTTTATTGGTTTATTTGATATTTTAATTAAAGGGTTCTTTATTTTCATTTTATCGCGTGCAATAATTCTTGATCAAATTCTCCTTCTCTGTGATTTTTAAAGTATCCGTGCTTAGAGAAAACTGACTTCTGGAATGGCCTTTCAGAATTTTAAATCTTTCTATTGTCTGTCTGTCTGTCTGTGTCTGTCTATCGATCTATCATCTCTCTATATATATCAATCTATCTATCTCTCAGTTGCTATCCTTCCATCTCTCTCTCATCATCATCATCATCATCATCATCATCTATCAATTTATCTATCAATTATCTCTCTATCTTTCTCTCTATGTATCTATATCCATTTATCAAGAATTTTAAATCTATATTTCAAATCTACCTGTCTGTCTGCGTGTCTGTCTGTCTATCTATCTATAATTTTAAATGTATCTATATGTATCTATGCAGAATTTTAAATCTGTTTTCTATCTATCCAGCCAGCCAGCCAGAAGTTTAAATCTATCTGTCTATCTATCTATCTATCTATCTATCTATCTATCTATCTATCTATCTATCTATCTATCTACCTACCTACCTACCTATCATTTTAAATGTATCTATATGTATCTATGCAGAATTTTAAATCTATTAACTATCTATCTATCTATCTATCTATCTATCTATCTATCTATCTACCTACCTACCTACCTACCTACCTACCTATATATCATTTTAAATGTATCTATATGTATCTATGCAGAATTTTAAATCTATTAACTATCTATCTATCTATCTATCTATCTATCTATCTATCTATCTATCTATCAGAATTTTAAATCTGTCTATCATCTATCTATCATTTCCTGGACACAGGAAAGCTATCAGAAAGTTCATGGATTCACCCACATACAAGCTATCTTTGCAATATCAGAACTGAGCATTTTTAAAGGTGCTTCTGATTAAAGGTGGTGATGATTTTATAAATCGAGCCTTAAGTTACTACAAAGGTTTACCTGCCAGGTGGAACATTTGTCCAAACTACATAATCAAAATCAAACGAAAGTGCGTAGATGTGTGTGATTTTAGTCCTCAGCTTCATCAAAACCTTCTTTCTGAACATTTTATATATCAATACCTAGTCTCTTATTGGTCAGTCCTAGAGGAGATCAACCCTGACTGCTCTTTAGAAGGCCAGATCCTGAAGTTGAAACTCAAGTCCTTTGGCCACCTAATGAGAAGGAAGGACTCACTGGAGAAGAGCCTAATGCTGGGAAAGTTGGAGGGCAAGAGAAGAAGGGGATGACAGAGAAGGAGGTGGCTGGATGGAGTCACTGAAGCAGGAGGTGTGAGCTAAAGTGGACTCCAGAAGATGGTAGAGGACAGGAAGGCCTGAAGGAACGTGGTCCATGGGGTCGCGATGGGTCAGACACGACTTCGCAACTAACAACAACAACAAATGCTCTTATTTTGAACCATATGTTTGAACCCTTCAAGCACTAGCAAAATAAATTAATTAATTAATTGAATGAATGAATGAATGAATGAATGAACGAATAAATGAATGAACGAATAAATGAATGAATGAACGAATGTCATAAACACAACGAAGCCACGCACATCTGATGGACAACTGTCCTATTACTTGGTGCTGGATCAGCTTGTATAGATGAACACATTAAAGAGAAACTTTTTGTATCAGAAACTCTGTGGCTTAATCCCAAAGGTGCTTTTTTTTTTTCTTTCACGAGGCAACTGGACTTTCTCATTTCTCTTGAAGACATTTCGCTTCTCATCCAAGAAGCTTCTTAAGCTTCTGCCATGGGGAAGGGCAGTCCGAGCTGGAGAAGACCTCTTCAAAGAAAAACAGGGAAGTCCAGTTGCCTCGTAGGAAAAAAAAAAAGTACCTGGATAGACTGAGCATCTCCATAGATATCTATCATAATAATAATAGTGATAAAGTTGGAAGTGACCTTGGAGGTCATCTAGTCCAACCCCCTGCTCAGGCAGGAAACCCTATACCATTTGGGACAAATGGCTGTCCAGTTTCTTCTTAAAAACTTCCAGTGTTGGAGCATTCACTGCTTCTGGAGGCAGGTTGTTCCACTGGTTAATTGTTCTAACTGTCAGGAAGTTTATCCTGTTCTAAGACTGCTTCTCTCCTTGATTAGTTTCCATCCATTGCTTTTTGTCCTGCCTTCAGGCGCTTTGGAGAATAGCTTGACTCCCACGTCTTTGGGGCAGCCCCTGAGATATTGGAACACTGCTATCCTGTCCCCCCTCGTCCTTCTCTTCGTTAAACTAGACATACCCAATTCCAGCAATCATTCCTTATATGTTTTAGCCTCCAGTCCCCTGATCATCTTTGTTGTTCTTCTCTGCACTCTTTCTAGAGTCTCAATATCTTTTTTACTTCATGGTGACCAAAACTGGATGCAGGATTCCAAGTGTGGCCTTACCAAGGCCTTGTAAAGTGGTATTAACACTTGACGTGATCTTGATTCTATCCCTCTGTTAATGCAGCCTAGCACTGTGTTGGCTTTTTTGGCAGCTGCAGCACACGGTTGGCTCCTATTTAAATCTGTGACTTAACGCTGAAGGAAAGATAAGGGAAGCTGCATGGATGCTTTCAATTTACAGACAAGGAGGAAAGGAGAACGAAGGAGAGCTGAGTCCCACCAACATGCAGGTGTGACTTACCAGGGTCTTCTACGGACATCATACAGATCGATCTTGTTCTGCGTTTGACTCTTGTCCACCCAGGGAGATGCTGGAAAGGAGAAACAGGACAGCAATAGAATTAGAGTGAAGAGTTACATCTTTCTTGGATTGATGTATATGTTAAAGCACCATGTAAACACCATTTAAAGCAGGGTTTCAGAGCCCCAGTTATACTCACCCTGGTTTCACTATTGTAGGTGTACACAGATAGTTCCTTGACTTATACATTTGTTTAATGACCATTCGAAATTACAATGTAATTCTAGTTTAATGAAGAGAAGGACGAGGGGGGACAGGATAGCAGTCTTCCAATATCTCGGGGGCTGCCCCAAAGAAGAGGGAGTCAAGCTATTCTCCAAGGCGCCTGAAGGCAGGACAAGAAGCAACGGATGGAAACTAATCAAGGAGAGAAGCAACCTAGAACTAAGGAGAAACTCCTTGACAGTTAGAACAATTAACCAGTGAAACAACCTGCCTCCAGACGCTGTGAATGCTCCAACACTGGAATTTTTTAAGAAGAGACTGAACAGCCATTTGTCTGAAATGGTATAGGGTTTCCTGCCTGAGCAAGGGGTTGGACTAGATGACCTCCAAGGTCCCTTCCAATTTTTTTTATTATTATTATTATAACGACAATGAAAAAAGTGACTTAGGCTCGTTTCTTAAACTTACGACCGTTGCGGCATCCCCATTTGCAACTGACTCATATTTATGACGGTTGCAGTGTCCCGGGGTCATGTGATCCCTTTTTGGGACCTTCGGACCAGCCAAGCCAAGCCAGATTCACTTAACAACTGCATTACTAACTTAAGAAACTGCAGCGATTCGCTTAACGAATATGACAAGAAAGGTCGTAAAATGAGGCTAAATTCACTTAAACAATGTCTCACTTAGCAACAGAAATTTTGGGCTCAGTTGTGGTCATAACTCAAGGACTATCTGGATTCACCTTTGGTAGTGGGACTGTGGCACACGGATAAACTGGTAACCTTATACATATAATAATAATAATAATAATAATGCCGATAAAGTTGGAAGGGACCTTGGAGGTCATCTAGTCCAGTGGTTCTTAACCTGGGCGATATTGCCCCCCAGGGGGCGATTTCATTTTTCAGGGGGGGGATGGAACAAAAAGGGGTGACGCGGGGGCAAAGGAACGAAAAGGGGGCGATATGGGGGCGATGGAGCTAGAAGTTTTGGGGACACTTTTGAGACTTGAATGGCTGTATATCTGTCGTACAAAAACATCAGATCGCTCGCTATTAATGGATTGAATTGTGTTTTCAAAGGTTCCTCCAGCTCGCTTCAGTACAGAATGCCGTACATAGGTGAAGACGCATCGCTTATCTTCATGCGCGTTGCGCAGCAGCCTCTACCCATACAGTGGCACGCCATTGGCCAGAATATGGGAGATATGGGAAAAAAGACTGGAAATAAATTATTTGCATCAATATGTCCTGATGACAATTTTAAAGAAAAGAAAAAAAATGTTTGCATTAATTGAAGAATTATTTCCTATGTTGTGATTGAGAGGTTATGTTGGGGGAGGGGGCGATGACAACTTTCTCATTGGCTCAAGGGGGCGATTCATTCAAAAAGGTTAAGAACCACTGGTTTCTAGTCCAACCCCCTGTTCAGGCAGGAAACCCTACACCATTTCAGACAAATGGCTGTCCAGTCTCTTCTTAAAAACTTCCAGTGTTGGAGCAGTCACAGCTTCTGGAGGCAGGTGGTTCCACTGGTTAATTGTTCTCACTGTCAGGAAATTTCTCCTTGGTTCTAGGTTGCTTCTCTCCTTGATTAGTTTCCATCCATTGCTTTTCGTCCTGCCTTCAGGCGCTTTGGAGAATAGCTTGACTCCCTCTTCTTTGGGGCAGCCCCTGAGATATTGGAAGGCTGCTATCATGTCCCCCCTCGTCCTTCTCTTCATTAAACTAGACAGACCCAATTCCAGCCACCGTTCCTTATATGTTTTAGCCTCCAGTCCCCTAATCATATATATATTATAAGGTATTTAACTTACAGGTGAACTAAACACCAATGAGTCGTCTAAAAGTAGACATTGTATAAAACTTCTAATTAAAAGCAGAAGGTTTTGAACCATTTTTATTCAGTCCCTTTGCCCCCAATCTTACTCCTTCATTTTTACTTAATAAACATTTTACTTAATAAGGGCAAAACATTTGTCATCGGTCCAAATTGAAGCAATTGGAGGCTGAAGCTCCCAATCTAAGAAAGATTGACCTACCAATCTGTTTTCTCCATCTCATTATATTCTGTGAAAAGGGTGTTCATCATAATTCTGCCCAACGCTTCTCGATAAAACCGAAACCCAATTTACAGCACAGCAACCTCTTTAGAAGCACAACACGTAGACCCTTTACTCAGATCTATAAAACTGGTAAAATAAGCCATGGACTCCGCAAAGCACGTCTAAGGTATTGTTTACATCTAAATTTAAGTTTTACAAATTTTTACGGCTTGGCTATCTTGATTTCTGAAACTCTAATGAAAGAAGCTTGTAGAAGTGAAGTCATATGGACTATAAACCTCAGTTCAAATTATGATAAATATTCTAAACTATAAAACATGAGCCTCTATATACCGATAGTCCTCGGCTTACGGCAGTTCATTTAGTGACCCTTCAAAGTTACAACGGCACCGAAAAACTGAGTTATGACCGTTTTTCAGACTTATGACCATTGCAGCATCCCCATTTTTCACACTTGTGACCGTTGCAGCATCCCCATTTTTCACACTTATGACCATTGCAGAATCCCCATGGTCACGTGAGCAAAATTCAGGAGCTTGGCAACTGATCTATATTTATGATGGTCGCAGTGTCCTGGGGTCACGTGATCCCCTTTTATGCTTTTCTGACAATCGAACTCAATGGGGGAAGCTTGATTCACTTAACAATCGTGTTCCTAATTTAACAAATACAGCAACTCACTTGAGAAAGGTCATAAAATGGGGCAAAACTCACTTAACAAATGTCTCTCTTATCAATGGAAATTTTGGGCTCGGTTGCAGTCATAAGTCTGTAGAGGCAATGAAATCAAGGCACACACTCTGCAGAGCAGATCTCCATATTGTCTACATCTAAAATTAAATTTTCTACAGTTTTATGGGCTTGCTATCTTGATTTTTCGAAAGCTAATAAAAGAAACCGGAGTTAGGGACTTTAGAAGTCAGTGTAGTCAGTTGGTTTACGATGAGCTAAACTCTGACTTCATACTCCGTGGATTATATAACTCAGTTTTTATTATGACAAATAGTCTAAACTTAAAAAAAAATATGAGCTGAAGGGACTATTCTTCTCTCTCAAAGGCTCATATAGTCCCTGCAGATAACATTTTATTTCATTTCATGCGTACAACCGTTTTCGGGAAAGTGCAATTTCACAGCAGAATCTTTTTACAGAAAAGCAAATTACAGGAAATTCTCTAAAACCTATCAAGTTTCAATAGGAGGAGAGAAGATTTGCAGCTCAGGGTTGAAACTGGGGGGTCCTTGGTGCTGTCTGAGCTTGGTTGTTTTCTTGCAGACATCTCATTTCCCAGCTCAATAATATCATCAGTGCTAGAAGGGAGTGGGGTTTGCAGGGAGGAGGAGGAGGAGGAGGAGGAGGAGGAGGAGGAGGAGGAGGAGGAGGAGGAGGAGGAGGAGGAAGAGGAGGAGGAGGAGGACGCTGACGACGACAATGACTGTGGGGTCCTCGGTGCTCTCTGAGCTTGGTTGTGTTCTTACAGACATTTCATGACCCAACTAGGGAACATCATCAGTGCTGGAAGGGAGGTGAGTTTGCTCAGAGATTTGAACTGTGGGGTCCTAGGTGCTCTCTGAGCTTGGTTGTTTTATTGCAGACATTTCATGACCCAACTAGGTAGCATCATCAATGCTAGAATGGAGCAGGTTTTGACAGGAGGAGGAGGAGGAGAAGAACTGTGGGGTCCTTGGTGCTCTCTGAGCTTGGTTGTTTTCTTGCAGACATCTCATTACCCAACTAGATAACATCATCAGTGCTGTTTATATACAATAGCTTGAAGTCTGTTGATTTTCTTCAACTAACCAAACAGAAGCTAAATCCCAATATTTTGCACCGTGAGGGTTTTCCTTGAGGGAGAGAATATGGGTAACTGGGATTAAATTGACACTCAGTTATAATTTAGGAAAGAACCTCTACGACATGACGTGCTGTCGGTATAAGACACCAGGGAAATTATCAAAAACACATAAAAAGTATTTCAAAACCAGCGGTGAAAATGTGAAAAGCATGAGGAGATTTTTTTTTCTCACGCATGGTAAACGTGCGAGAAAGCTGAGAAATTCTAGCTAGACATTCACATAATGACACAAAGGTTTTTAATGATTAATATCACTAAGAAACTGGAACTCTTTTTATTGGGATTTATAGATATTAAATTAGGGGGGGAACCCCATGCTAAATTGATACCGTGCATGGCAGCTGCAGCAAAATGTTTTTTTGTTGTTGTTTTTTTTTTATGCACAAGGATTGAAGCAAAATGAAATTCCTACATTAGAGTAAAACATTTCTGGAAAAAACTGATCTGTTGGTCACAAAGAAAAAAACCACAATTTTTTTTTAAAAAAATCCTTAGATGGACTTATTGCTGAAAGAAGAAGAAAAATGAACCAATGATTGATGGATCTGAAGACTAAGAAAGATGAAGACGAAATGAGCAGGGTGAAGGAAGCCTATAAATTATTTAAGATGACAATAAAATTGTAATTATCTGTTGAGAAGACCGGTCAAAAGCCATTTGTAAGCTTCCTTTTTTTTTCTTTTGGTTTTATGGGTTTTCTTCCCCCTGTGGTTGGCTACTATGATATGAAAAAGTTCAACAAATATAAATTAAAAGAGAGAGAGAGAGAGAGATTGGTGGGGTATAGGTCCAAAAAGTAGATATGATTTGGCCTATATTGTGTTCCTTTGAGAATGAGTTGGCTACCTTCATCTAGCTAACATCTACCTACCTAAAACTTAGCCCTGATGACAGCATACTTTAGAAACAAGAGGGTTAATTT